ACCATGTTGACCGGGATGGTCTCGATCTCTTGACCTCGTGATCCACCCGCCTCGGCCTCCCACAGTGCTGGGATTACAGGCGTGAGCCACCGCGCCCGGCCCAAAATATGGTATTTCTAATAGAGCTCTACTATATATCAATTTCTCCTGCTTTTGCAAAATACAAAAATTATACTAAGTGTCACGTACCATTAATCCCCGAAATATAGAAGCATAATGAATAAAAGATGGACAGATATCATATTCCTTACAATAAACAGGTTTCTCCTAACAAAAAGCAGCTCCCTTATACCAATAAAGTTCAAAGACAGAGATGAACATCATCATTATTACAGTGTTATTACAGTGTCATACCTCATCATTCTTAATAGATTCCAATCCTGATGTGGTTGCTACAATTAAACAAGACTTTTCTCTTAATCGCTTCACTGTGTCAAACATCTGTGAAAAACAGGTGAAACATTAAAAGATTTAGTTAGACTGTTGGACTGATCAAGAACAGAAACATTCACTAATCTGATTGTGGCATCATATCTCCAAACATCTTTCACTTAAACTATTTCAATATATAAAGTAAAAAAGTGACCATGACTGTGACAAACACCTGCCCTAGTCAATGAGCAATCTAGCTGAGGAGGAGGCCACTGGTAGCAGAATCAGTAGATTCGGCATGTAGCTGGGAGCATGTCTCTGTTAGCTTTCGAGGAATTTGCCAGGAAACAAAATTCTTTTTTAATTTAAAATAACATTTTTGTGCTAAAATACATAAAGACAAATATATAAAATGATGGCTGGATGTGTTGGCTCACATCTGTAATCTCAGCACTTTGGGAGGCCAAGGCGGGTAGACCACCTGAGGTCAAGAGTTAGAGACCAGCCTGGCCAACATGGCAAAATTCTGTCTCTACTAAAAATACAAAAATCAGTTGGGCGTGGTTGTCCACGCCTGTGATGCCTGCAACTTGGGAGGCTGAGGCAGGAGAATCTCTTGAACCCAGGAGGTGGAGGTTGCAGTGAGCTGAGACTGCACCCCTGCACTCCAGACTAGGCAACAGAGCGAGACCCTATCAAAAAAAAAAAAAAAAAGATACAAAATGAGAAGTAAAATTCTCCTCTTCCTGATTACAATGCCCCCCTCCAAAAGCAACAACTAAAATACAGACTACCAATATTTTTTCACAGGTAAAAATTATTAGAATATATAATTTTTATATTTACACCTATTTTTATTAAAAGAGAGTCTACCATACATACTCTTTCACACCTCCTTTTTTCACTTAATAATTTACCTTTGGAGACATTTCCACAACAGCTTATACAGAAATGTCTCATTCTTACAAATAAAGGTCAAGGTTTCACCATGCATGCATTTATTCGACAGTTTCACTCTGTCACCCAGGTTGGAGTACAGTGGCACAATTCTTGCTCACTGCAACCTCTGCCTCCTAAACTCATGCCATCTTCTCACCTCAGCCTCCCAAGTAGCTGGGACTAGAGGTGCACACCACTATACCCCTGGCTAATTTTTATATTTTTTGTAGAGATGGGTCTTTTCCACATTGTCCAGACTAGTCTTGAACTCTGGGCTCAAGCAATCCACCCAAAATGGCTTCCCAATGTGCTGGAATTTTAAGTGTGAGTCACTGTGCCCAGTAAAATTTATTTATATTTTGAAGGAACCTTGGTCTCATGAGGAAAAACTTCCCACAATGAACATTTACAACATAGCTTTAAATTAAGCATCTGGAGAGAGTATACTATGTTTTTAACAGCAGACATGTGTGATTTTAATATATATTAATAAAATTTAGCATTCTAATCGAAAATGAATTTTCAGGACTAGATCTGCAATTCATAACACCATCTCAATGGGATATGAAAGCTGAACTAAATGGTATCCCGATTTACTTATTAGTAGTTATTTACTTTCGTTTGATTTTCTATCTTAAAATTATTGGCTAGTTTAACAGAAATACTAAATACTCATAAAATCTACTTCAAGAATTTTGATATCATTATCTTATAGTTACATATCATTACATCAAGCTTAAAGGACTGTTTCTAATTAAGTACTAAAAAGAGCTGCCCTCTTAAAGTACAAATCAGTACCAACGATAAGAATGTTAAAAAAAGAACTACTCTATACATTCTAATTATCAAAACAATATTTAGCTATAAACATCAGAATATTTTAATGAATGTAATGAGTACAGAAGCTCCATAATCCTGGTTTCATGTTTCCATGTGAAGGATTTTCCATTAAAGTAACATTCCTGGCCTATCTCTCCCCTGCTTATTTAATTCACTCAACCCCAAAGGCAATGCTACCTACCCAATAAGCTCAAGCACCAAATCCAGGAGTCATCTTTGATTCCTTTTTTTCTGAAACAGAGTCTTGTTTTGTCACCCAGGCTAGAGTGCAGTAGTATGATCTCAGTTCACCACAACCTCCACCTCCCATGTTCAAGTGATTCTCCTGCCTCAGCTTCCTGAGTAGCTGGGCCTACAGGCATGCACCACAACATCTGGCTAATTTTTTATATTTTTAGTAGAAATGAGGTTTCACCACGTTGTCCAGGTTGGTCTCAAATTACTGACCTCAGGTGATGTGCCTGCCTTGGCTTCCCAAAGTGCTGGGATTACAGGCACAAGCCACCACGCCCGGCCTCATCTTTGATTTCTTGATTTCCTTCATCCCCCCCAATCAAACTGATCAGCAAGTACTATAGATTTTACCTCCACAAGCCTTCAACATAAACCTTAATCAGTTCAGATTCTTACAATCTGCATTTAGCCTAGGTCATGCTTATTTTATGCCAAAATTACTGCAATACTCTCCTAACAGTTTCCTTACTTGCATGCGTACCCTCTGTAATCCATTACTCCACAAGAGTCAACACCATCTTGCACAAATATAGATTAGGTCACTTAAAAACCTCCAATACTTTCCCACTGTCCTCAAAAATAAAATTTATCACTTTATGCTGGCTTATAAGGACCTATATGATCTGGCTCTAGCTGCCCATATGACCTCATTGCCTACCTTTCCATCCCTTATTCATTATGTTCCAGCCATACTGGCCTTCTTTCTGGCCACCACAGAGCTTTTGTAGTGCTGTTCCCCCTTCCTGGAGTACTGTTCCAGATTCTCCCAAGACTGACTCCATGGCATTCAGGTCTCAGCTCCAATGTCACCTTTTGAGAGAGGCCTTCCCTAATTACCCAAAGTAACCCCTTACTCATCTACTGAATTACCCTGATATTTTCTTGTTTGTTTGTTTAATGTCTGTCCCTCAGCTAGAGTATATGTTCCATGACAGTAAGCACCTTGTCTGTCTTGTTCCATCTAGAAATCCATAAATGAGCATGGCACATGGTATGTATTCAATGAAGTTGACTAAATAATGACAAAACAATAAATCTTAATTTTTAAAACTACATTAAAACATAGAAAAACAGAATTATTAACATAAAAAAGTGATAATGAAAAATCAGTAGTAAATGTCTACAATAGTATAGTGATTTAATTTTAGAAGCAAGTAGAGAATTCTTAAATATTTAAACCAAGATATGATCAATTTACTTTTTAGTTTACCTGAAGTAGCCATGTAATCATGTCCTTCTGGCCTTCTAACTGGGGAATTCCTTTCAGTTTTTCCAAAAGAATATGTATGTTCATGGCTGAACTTCCCAATCCTTTTTTAAAACACAAAATCACACATCATAAATATATATAATCACCTCCTGGTATCCTCAGGGGATTGGTTTCAGGTCCCCTACGGACATCAAAGTCCACTAATGCTCAATTCCTTTATATAAAATGGTGTATTATTTGCATAAAATCTACATACTTGCTTCTGTATGCTTTAAATCATCATCTCTAGATTACTTATAACGCCTAATACAATGTAAATGCTATGTAAATAGTTGTTAGATAACATTGTTTAGGGAATAATGACAAGAAAAAAGAAGTCTGTGCATGTTCAGTACAGTGGCAACCATCCTTTTTCTTTCTTCCCCCTGAATATTTTCAATCTGTGGTTGGTTGAATCCTTAGATGTGGAACCTGCAGACATGGAGGGTCGATTATGTCTTCATAATTATGTACAAATTATAATTTCTAGTAAACGTTATTTACATTGATAACCAAGGTTTGCCAATCAATCCCTTAACTACATTAATTTTTCAATGGATGAATCTGCAATTATGTGAAGTACTGGATTACAATGATATGATCTACTACATTTAAAAATGATGTATGAGAAAAACTTGAATTTAAGTCTCTCTCTTACATCTTTTACTGGCACTGCTAAGTGAAAGCTACCCTAAATATCTGTCTCTGGTCTTTCCTCCGCTTGACTCAACATCTAAGCAAAAGTGCTTAATGAGAAACAAAATTGCCAAAATATCAAAGTGGGGGATGTCCATAAACTGAATATGTTTTTGATGTCTTCAAGGATCTAAAAACTACAGCATGTAAATAGAAAATGTTAGTCTTCTATTGTTTTTATAATCAACATGCCTGGAATGTGCTTTGAAAAAACTATCTTTATCAGGTAGCTTTTATTAGAAATCTAATTTAAACCTATCCTTTTCTTCCAAGTTGAATACAATGTAAAATGAACGTTAGTTATTCAGATTTCTATCATTTAAAATTCAGAAACATTAATATCTCATATAGACATGTCAAGTGAATGCTATGGTTGACACAGCAGCAAATATTTGATAACACTGAGGTGAGTAATGAAAGTCAAAAAACACCAATATATGCAACCAAAAAAAAAAAAGTGGGGAGCACATGTAGTGAAAAGACTGTAGTAAAGACTACAGTAAGAGATTAAAACTATATGAATATGCTTGAAAATATCAGTTACAAAACTAAGAATGCTAGAAACGAACAAATTATTTCAGGGTTTCCTATGTCTTAAGGACTGACAGATTAAAACTCTATAAGATATAAACTTTCAGGACTGACAAATTACAACTCCTTAAGATCAAAACTTTCTATGATAAATGTGTTGAAGGGTGATACTCAAACATACTTGAAGCCTTATGATAAAAGTCAAATGTTACTTCTTCTTCAGGAGCTTTTTGAAGCTGTTGCTTCTCTTCTAGTAAACCCAATGCCAGAATATGAAAAGCCTGAAGGAGGAAAATAAGAGATCTTAAAAACTGGGCTTCTTCAGGTAAATATATTTTTAATTTAATTTTTATTTTTTTCAGAGACAGACCTCACTTTGTCACCCAGGCTGAAGTGAAGCAGGGCAATCCTAGCCTACTAAAGCCTTAAGCTCCCCGGTTCAAGTGATGCTCCTGCCTCAGTGTCCTGAGTAGCTGGGGACTAGAGGTGCACAGCACCATGCCCAGCTTATGGTATTTTTTGTTATAGACGGGGTCTCACTATGTTGACCAGGTTGGTCTCAAATTCCTGCGCTCAAGTGATCCTCCTGCCTCAGCTTCCCAAAGTGCTGTGATTACAGGTATGGGCTACCATGCCCAGCAAGGTAAATCTATTTTAAGGAGAAGTATAAAACTAAGCAATCTGATAAGTAAAAAAACACTCACATTAAGCAGTTCACAGAAAGAGAAATGAACACAGATATGAAAAATGTTCAACTTGGCCAGGTGCTGGTGGCTCACAACTATAATCCCAGCACTTTGGGAGGCCGAGGCAGGTGGATCACCTGAGGTCAAAAGTTTGTGATTAGCCTGGCCAACAAGGTAAAAACCCGTCTCTACTAGAAATACAAAATTAGATGGGCATGGTGGTGGGTGCCTGTAATCCCAGTTGCTGGGGAGGCCAAGGCAGAACAATTGCTTGAACCTGGGAGGCAGAGGTTGCAGTAAGCCAAGATGGTGTCAATGCATTCCAGCCTGAATGACAAGAGTGAAACTCTGACCAAAAAAAAAAAAAAAAAAAGTTCAACTTCACTTGAAGAAAAATGAGTTGAAACAAGATCATCCTATTTTTCACCTATTACAGTGGCAAAAATTTTAGCATTTAGTAAAATATAGAGCTGGCATAGGTATTGGGAAGTAGGCACTTTTGACCATACTGGTGATGGGAAAGTAAACTGGTTTAACATTTTTGGAGGGTAATTTGAAAACATTTATAAAAAATGTAAAGATATATACCAGCTACTTGGAATTAGTATGACAAATACACTCCCTTAAGTATGCAAAAATATTCATACAAGAAAGTATATTTTATTGTTCTTTGTTACAGCAAAGACCTAGAAACACCTGAATGTCTATTAATAGGAGACTACTTAAACACATCATATCCATATGATGGAATACGCAGCTATCAAAAATAGGTAGTTCTATACATGCAAAACTTTAATAATGCTTATATCCTATATAGGGCACTAGGACTCAGGGAGCGAAATTTTAACTTGATTTCAAACATATATGTATGGTTTATAATTTACTAGTGATTGTATTTATCAGTGTTATAAAAAAAATTGTGATACACATATGGCAGTGACAGCATTTAGAATCTGCAGACCAACAATATTCAAGGAAAACTGAAAATTTAGTTAGGCAGGTATAAATATAGAGTTACAACTACAATGACGTGGCATAATTAAGTAACATGTATTTATCTGTAACAGTAACAAGGAAAAATAGCTGCTTTCACTTTAGCTAATTCTTCTACCTCTAAAAATAATTACACTTATATCCATTTTACTAATGAGAAAATTATTATTTGCTACTTAAACAGAAAGTGGGGAAACCCAAGACTGAAGTCTAGACCCATCTTCAGACCTTTATTAACTGTCTCCTTATAATCCAAGTAAAACTAAAAATATAAAAAATCATGACAAAATAATAACATGTCAATTTATTAGCATGAGTACGCCTGTTTTTGTTTTCAAGGGTTTTATTAAACAGAAATGGTTCCCAAGAGTAAGGATGCTAAAAGCATGAGAATGTATCACTAAAAAAGTCTGTGGTATGTATAAGCTATTTTTAATGACCCCTACATTTCAGGTGCTTTAGATGCGGTTCCAACTGAAGTTATACCCAAGATATTCTCCAGATCCTCAAGAACTCTAGAACTTGATGTAGATAAAATATTTTAGGAAAACAAACCATTTGGAGCATCCCTTCGGTCCACAAGTTAGAATCTGTGTCTATTGCCCGCTCAAATACAGTCCTGAGAATGTACATCATGATATCACAGTTGAGAAGGTTAATCACTTTGCTGAAAGCAGGGCAGAATTCAGGAGGTGGTGGTGGTGGCAATGCTACAGGAAGTGGGGAATGGATGAGGAAAGAGACAAACAGGCACATTTTTATTTGGGTTTTACTACATACTAAATTGCAAATGTCAAAAAATAATAAATTACATGCAAAATAAGAGATGCTTTTTTGTTACCTTTCCAGTACTGAAAATATCAATGTTACATGTAATGTAAGTACTAAGTCAGCCACCCAAAATGAACATTTGCCATCAATTTAAAATTCAATCACTGCTGATATATACCACATCTTAATATGTGAATAAGAAGCAAAAAGTTCTTTGCACTTCCTTGAGTTGCCCACTCTCAAAAACCAACAAAGCCAAAAAACTATATGCTTCGCTGATACAAAACCACAGAAAATAGCCAAAATCAGTCAATTCAGAATCTCACTTTTTACCTTCATCTTTGTTTTCTTGTTTTCTCCTTTTCTTCTGCATATGTTCAGCCTATAAAAAAAAAAAACTATCATTAAGTATACTGCTTTGCAAGCACGAAACAAAAGACTTTAAAGCAGTCAGGAAAGACCCAACCACCTATTAAAATAGTTTATATAATGAAGCATGTATTCAAAATGCCTCTTTGTGCCAGAAACAAAATGGTGTTCTAGAGAAAACTAATGCAAAATAGATGAGGAATATTCCTCATCAAGAACTTAGTCTCCATTCTTTTCTACTGAAAATATTTACCTGTACCTATTATGTACAGGGTACTATGCTACGGGCTGTAAAGTATTTACTTTATAAGGACAAAGCCAGACATCACCTCAAGTAAGTGATCAAACTTAACATGATCTTTCATGGGACAAAAAGGCATATGTGCTTAATGATGTGATGCAATATGTCACTTACATAGCATTCTTGCCAAAAATTGTTTAACTTGAATCTATTCTGTACTCCATAGAAATGCCAATGTTATGAAATTTAAAAATGCAAAAGAATTATCCTTTAAGTGAATGGAGAACACTGGCCAGGCATGGTGGCTCACGCCTATGATCCCAGCACTTTGGGAGGCTGAAATGGGTGGATCATTTGAGGTCAGGAGTTCGAGACCAGCCTGGACAATATGGTCAAACCCCGTCTCTACTAAAAATACAAAAATTAGCTGGGCATGGTGGTGTGCACCTGTAGTCCCAGCTACTACTCAGGAGGCTGGGGCAGGAGAATCACTTGAACCTGGGAGGCTGAGGCTGCAGTGAGTCAAGATCGTGCCACTGCACTCTAGCCTGGGCAACTGAGCGAGGCTCCCTTTCAAAAAAAAAAAAAAAAAAAAAGGAGACTATAGAAACATGACAATTAAATGAGTGTGTGATAATAATGAAATGCATGATGCTTGACTGAATCCTCTTCCCAAGACAGCTATAAAGGACATATGTAGCATAATCAGGAAAATCTGAATATTGCCTGTATACTAGATAACATTACTGATTCAATTTTTATTTCTTGACATAATGCCCTCTATTAATAACAATCAGCATGAAACTGTAGAAAAAGTGAAAATTTTCTGTGGAGTTAGAAAGCATGAAGTATTTAGGTTTAGCTACTGAAAAGGATACTTTTTTCTACCTTGCTATGCTGGGTTTTGGAGTAATGGTAAAAGTACATATTGAAGTCTTTCAATGATTCATCTTTTAATTCATAAACTCCATGGCCTGATACACCTGGTTTCCTAGATGGAAAATACAAGATGAACTGTAGTGTTCATGAAGTATAAAATGCAGACAAAATAAAAACCTAAAAATCTAGAAGTCAAAATATACAGAGAAAAAATTATATCTCATTTAGTTTATAAATTCCATTCCAATAATAAAACTAAAAGCCTACATTGTAAACACAAAGCCTGATAACAGCTGTGTTTTGTAATAATGAAATTCAAACAAATCTGGAGAAGTCTGTTTTATGCTATGTAGAACTGATCCCATAACCTATCTCTAAAGCTTTTTAGAGATTTGAGTCTCTGAAGCCTAAAGTTTGTCTATTCAACTAAAGAAAACTTCATTGGCCTTAGACACTTCATTGTCTAAGGTCAAATCTAAAATAGTAGGGAGACATCATAACCTTAGCAATTTGGAAATGAAAATACAATGCCGAATCCTTTATACTATAAGGAAAAATCATTAAGGTCAAAAGGAGTACTTCATATTTGTTCTAAACATTAAATAGCTTTTGGTTTCTATCCAATCTCTAAGTCAAATATTTCACTGAACATTATTAGATCATAAGAAAAGCTATACCCTATTTTTAAAGTTATTTGAAACTAGTAATTTATCTGTAAACACAATACTGTATCAATTTTTCAAATTTCAAAGGTTAACACAATTAAATTTTTCTTTCTTTTATATACTTAAATGAAAATATAAAATGCTGTTTTAATTCTACTAGAGAAAAATCCAAAATTCGCATATAAAATAAAAATTTATAGAATAAACGAAATCATGGGTTCAAATTAATGGGAAAGAGACTATCCAAAAAGTCTGTTTACTATGTAAATAAATCATCTAATATCATAAAAGAATATTTCTCATTCACCTGCCAAAAACATTCATTTTATCAACAAACAGATACAAAGTGTCTACTGTGAGCCCCTCATTGCCATGCTTTCTAATCTGTGTTCCACTCTTATTCTTGGGAGTTCAGGTAAGAACTTCAGAAGTATTCAAAGTACAACAACAAGGATCAATCTACCTTTTAGAATAAGCATAAATATTAAGCACTTACTTAAATGTAGCCACTTTGTTTATGACATTCTCTAAGCCAGTTTCATTATTTTCCTGTCAAAACAATATTTTTGTCATTTTTACCTTCATATAGTGACTTCCACTTCTCTGTGAAGTGAAATACATTTTCAACTGCACCTCTGAAGTAAGTATTTTGTAAATAATAAAAGAAACACATCAATTTCCACTATTAAAAAATTAGGTCTAAAACCAATTATCTATGTTTTGGGAGTCCAACTTTGTAAGTGATAAGATGTATGTATAAACTGTTTAAGAAAGGTTATCTAAGTTTACCTTCATATGTGTGTATATGTATACACATAGATCTATGGCATACACACACAGTATTACCAATATTTCAAAGAAAAGAAGCTTTTCTTAATGTTGTATGTTTATCACCCACATCATTTATGCACATGCCCATGCTGTACTAATCCCTAAAATCAAGGTAACAAAATTATTGAGCTCCAACTAGTCACGTAGAGCAATACCCATGTCTGTATGTCCTATTATATTTTACCTTCTGCAATTATAATAGTTTTAATCTGACTGGCCTCATCTTTTCCTTAAAGAGGGTATACTATTTTTTTTACAAAGTCATTTTAAATCAAGATAAGGACCTAATCAAACTACTACAGTAAGCTCATAGATTCCTGTTGTCTTATAAAGATAAGAAATGTAACCTCCCTTAAAATATATATATATACTTGTGCCTTTCCGTGGCCAAGCACGGTGGCTCACATCTGTAATTTCAGTACTTTGGGAGGTCAAGGTGGGTGGATCACTTCAGGTCAGGAGTTTAAGACCAGCCTGGCCAAAATGGCAAAATCCCATCTCTACTAAAAATACAAAAATTAGCCGGGTGTGGTGGCGCGCACCTGTAATCCTAGCAACTCAAGAGGCTGAGGGAGGAGGATTGCTTGAACCTGGGAGGCGGCAGCTGCAGTGAACCAAGAGCCAAGATTGTGCCACTGCACTCCAGCCTGGGTGACAGAGCAAGACTTCGTCTCGTGCGTGTGTGTGTGTGTGTGTGTGTGTGTGTGTGTGTATCCCTATTCTACCTCTTTGGAAAGCCTTGACAGCACAGATAAGTATAATTATTTTTTAAGAATCATTTTTCTAACTCATATTCAAATCTTAAAGGGAAAAAATATGAGACTCATAACCTATAGAACTATTACTGCAGTATCTGTATACACAAAAATACAAATACCACTTGTGGTGGTCATGAGAATGCACCTTGCAGACCTCTAATTACAGGGAATAAATGACCACATGCCTCAACTGCTGTGCTCTGGTGAAACCGAGGCAAAGCTTCTCACCAGTCATTCCCAGACAATAGGCAAGGCAGAGATACTAATGCAGGCTTACTCTGGAACACATGGGAAGGCACAGATGGAAAGGCTGCCCAGCACTCTGGGATACTTCTATTTAACTTTCCTTCCCTCTTTACTTCACTGGGAATCAGATTTGCATCAGAATCTGATGGGCCCCCTTGTCGTTCCCAGATCCCTGGCCATTTTCCTTAATAAAAAAAACTTAATGTTTTGTCACGACATCTGCTTCTCAGAAGACCCATATTAACACATCACCCAGTCTCAGTACGTCAGGGAGTTCCCTTTTTACCTCTGGAATAATCTAAGTAAACAAAAAGTAAAGGAGTTTCACCCAGAATTAAAATTTATACCACTAAAGGATGAAAGTGATTGGTTTACATCTGTAAAGTAATAATATAGAACATTTTGCCTAAAATTTTGAAGTAGCTTCTTAAAAAAAACTCTATCATCTTGAGGCAAACAGAGATAAAATCAAAATCAGACTTACATTCTCAGGCAAATTTTTGGCAATGGCGCTGTGTGGCATAGGTTCAATGCAAAGCAAGTGAATAATTTCTCTCATTGTGACCTCTTCTTTGGTCACATTTCCTACTCCAGGTACATAGCGCTCACCTAGTTCAAATAATTAAAAATAAAAAGTAGAATAATTGTTTTCTACTTAAATCTCTCCCCATCAGAAGCACTTACAGAACACTGCATTAAATTAAGTTTGTAAGAGAGGGGCAAAAGTTATTTGAATGGGTTCCCAAATCTGAACAAGAATCTATGTTGAAAGAGGGGGAAAACTGAAGTGACTTGAAATTAGCTAAGTGTCTTGGCTAACTTATACACATATACACAGACACACAGACACATACGTATACATACACATACACATACTCACACATTATAAATAAGGCCCCTCAAATAAATTAGCATGTGTTTCTAATCCAGAACACATGGCAGATGGCATCTGAATGAGCAGTGGCCATCACTGAATAGTTTTTCTTTCAAGATCTTCCTCAATTTTGTATCTACTTGTTATTTAAGAAAGAACAAAGGGAAAACTGAAAAACAAAATACTTAAAAATGTCTTTATGGGTTAAATGACAAAACAGTAATATGTATTAGGAATGAATGGTGTTGTGAAAATGCCTACAAGGTCAGATTTCCATTTTTCATCAATATAAACCACCAAATGCAGGGGAAAAAATAGCTAACATAAGTATGGGAGCTTCACTGATGTCAACAGCATCTAATTCCTATTGCCTTAAGAAGGCTTACAATATCTGGCCTTATATCACCACTGATTTTCAACACTACAGTATTTGTACAAAGACCTATCATATTTACAAGAGGGTTACTAAGAAAGAAACCCCTTGCTTAAGAGATTTGATGAATTCTACAAATTTGCCAAAGAATGACTTTTTGTTAAGTGAATTTGTTTCCAACATACTTATTCTGCTTTACATTTGTAAAGCATTTTGTAATTTTTATAATTTTTCACCAAAAACAGTATCCCCTAGAATTTTAGTACTAGAAGAAACCTTAGAGATCGTGTAGGTTACCTCCACATTTTACAAATCAGGAATATAAGGCCAAAATAATGCAACTGCATGTTTTTAAAAGCTAGTAGCAAGGCCAAGACTAGAGCTCCTGATTCTTAATCCAAATATTTTTTCATATTTTAATTTTAATCAGAAATATAATTTTTTAAACAAAAATGTTGATTCCTGAAAGTAACGATCTTAACACTCATGAACAGAAAAAGTATTAACTAAAAAGCAAATCACAAGAAAAACAATAAATTTGGGCAAACACAATATAGTAAAATAATAGTAAATAAAACAGTAAAATTAAATATAGTAAATAAAAATAGTAATAAAATAAAAAAGTAAAAATAAAAGTAAAAAAATAGTAAAACAGTAAAATTATACTACAATATTAGAAATTCTTCATACAGTACTCTAAGGACAAATGCAAAAGTTCCCCTTGAGTTTTCATAATTTGATAAAGTATATAATCAATTTTTAATTCTTTTATACATTTTTAATTCATCCATTTTTTCCAATCTGTTTGTTACTGGTCTATTCTGGACAGGAAGAATTAGTGGTCTGAAAGGTTTAAGTCTCACCCAGCAATAAAGCCTTACTTCCCTTTCTGCTGAGACATGTAGCTAGTCTGGCAACTAGCTCTCTGACAAACAAGTAAAAATGAACCCATTTTTACAGACTTAGCTAACAGCTCTAATCCCCACTAAACAACTATTCAAACAAAGGAGTGTTTGTTGCAGTAAAGTAAATAACAAAAGCCAGAATGAGAAGTCAAGAACAAGATGATGGCAATGAATGTACCCAGCTGGTAAAATCAACAGACTATGACATAGCATATATTTGTATTCAGTAGGTTAGAACACAGTGTTCCTGCAAGGAATATTTATATTAATCTCAACCAAATTATAAGACACATTCTATGGATCAATGTCATAAGTTGATAAACATTATTTCTGGCAAAGAACACTCTTTTTCTTTTCTCTAAGTAAACTTAACAAAGCTAAGTATGACCAATATTAGCACAAAATAATTGAACAGAATAGGATGAAAATATAGTTTACTTAGACCAATGATATATATAAAATTTTTAACACTAAATGAACTCCAAATATGTCAAAACAAATTTACAAATCAGGTAGGAAAAATAAAGATGTAACATCTGTACTTTTATGAAGGTGATTTTCTAAATGCAGTATTTGACTGAGGAGTAAACGATCACTTATAGTTCATATAAATGGTCTCTGTAAAAAGTAACCCATGGACCAGGCGCAGTAGCTCATGCCTATAAGCCCAGCATTTTGGGAGGCTAAGGTGGGCGATTATGAGGTCAGGAGTTAGAGATCAGCTTGCCCAGCATGGTGAAACTCCAACTCTACTAAAAATACGAAACATTAGCCAGGCATGGTGGCGTGCACCTGTAATCCCAGCTACTTGGGAGGCTGGGGCAGGAGAACTGCTTCAACTCAGGAGGCAGAGGTTGCAGTGAGCCAAGATCGCGCCACTGCACTCCAGCCGAAGCGACAGAGCAAGATTCCATCTCATAAAAAAAAAAATTAATCCATGTTCTATGTCAAAATATTGTGTTTTAATCTTACCCACAATATAGATGAGGACCTGAAGCATTTCTTCTATTAATGTATTATATTGTTTAATCAAATCCTACAGAATTGAAAAAGAATAAATTAGTATGGAAGAACCAAAAATCTCCATAAAACATGCATTTCTGGATCAGACTCATGGTCCATCCAGTTCAGTATTTTTTCACCCAGTGCAGTATTTGTGTATGTGTATGTGCACAGCACAAATAGTTACAAGGTGAAGAGTTCCCTTTTTTGACATCAAATTCAACAATATCTGGCATATAATTGTTAAATACTGTCATTGTTTTCATTCTTATTATCCCCTGCATAGTCACACGTCAGCACACTAATGCTAATCTTTAATTCGTCCTCTATTACTGGCTGCCTTCTTATCTGGGGTAGTGAGAAAGCGCCTTCAAATACATACCCAACAGCTATGCTGAGAGTATCCTTCTCTAATACACCCCTCATTTAAACACTATTAAATCAGATATTGATTTTCACTAAGTATAAAACACAACTAAAAATTAGCTCTGCATTTTACATCCTATTCATGTTAGCCCTTTGCAAGTAACTTCTATTTTTTCATTTAAAAAGTTTTTTTTATGCATTTATTATTTTTCCAAAGAAACTTTACCAGAAGAAGTAACTTCTCATTTGAAAGAACAGAGTAATGAGATTTCATGAATTCAAAGTAGTTAAGGATTACTTTATAGGCAAATATTAATTCAAATATTAAAACAATAAAGATGTGGGCGGGCACAGTGGTTCATGCCTATAATCCTAGCACTTTGGGAGGCTGGGGCGGGCACATCACTTGAGCTCGGGAGTTTGAGACCAGCGTGTCCAACAAGGTGAAACCTCGACTCTATTAAAAATACAAAAAATTAGCTGGGCTTGGTGGCTCATGCCTGTGGTCCCAGCTACTCAGGAAGCTGAGGCAGAAGAATCGCTTAAATGGGAGGGGGAGGTTGCAGTGAGTCAAAATTGTGCTGCTGCACTCCAGCCTGGGCAACAGAGTGAGACTCTGTCTCAGAAACAAATAATAAATAAAATAAAATTTGTATATTACTTCTGAGACAACAAAGATTAAAATACCAATGTCATTATAGATGTATATATTGCACAAGAGAGCTTAAATAGGAATTTCTGAGAGCAATTTAACAATATGTATTAAGAGTCTTAAGAAAAAGTATGTTGTTTTATCCAACAAATCCACTTATGAAAATGTATCTTAACAAAATAGTTAGACAAGTGTTTAAACACTGAGCTACAACTGTTTATAAGACCAACCAACTTCTCAAAAATAAATAAATAAATAAAATAAAATCAGCCTGGCCAACATAATGAAATCTTGTCTACTAAAAATACAAAGATGAGCAGAGCATGGTGGCTAGTCTCAGCTACTCAGAGGCTGAGGCAGGAGAATCACTTGAACCCTGGAGGCAGAGGCTGTGGTGGACCAAGATCACACCACTGCACTCCAGCCTGGGCAACAGAGCAAGACTCCATCTCAAAAATAATAAATAAATAAATAAATAAATAAGCAACCAACTAGAAAGACCTCTTCAGTAACAGACTTTAAAGTATAATGCATCATATAGTGTAACCCTATATAATTATTTAAAATGATGATATAATTGCATATTTATTTCATGACAAGATGAAAAACCTTTGGCAATATGTTAAGCATAACAAGCAGATTACACAACAGCACATACAGAATGATACAATTTTTGCTTTAAAAACAAGAAAGACACCAAAACCTTAAAAGTGATCATTTCCAGGAAGCAGTGTTTTTCATGTGATTTTTTTGTGAACCTACATATTCTAATTTTTCTAGATTAAAAAGATTGTATGTGTGTACATATGTGTGCTATATATATCCATGTCATTTCAGGAGGTATGCATTAAGAATAACTTTTAAAATATGACTAAATATGACGGAAATAAAATATGACTCAAACAGTAACAATATTTTCTTTAAAATTAATTCACATAATTTATAGGTTCTGTACCTGGTCTTTTGTAGATACCGTCTTGTTAAAAGCCTCGGCAAGTTCATACCTCTGAAGTACCAGTAACAAGAACTTATTGGGATCCATTAAAGATGCACCAATCTGTGAAAGAAACCCAGCATCATATTTCTTGTGTATTGTACGGAGAAACATTGTGTCTCTTGTAGGACTGTCAGAAAATTATGAAGTTTGTAGAAGATAATGAAATAGAATACTCCCTTCTATTTCTATGACGTCATATTCAGTTTAATGGTGAGAATATTTTAAGTTAAAAATAATTACATTATCTTCTCTTATTATAAAGAACTTAAAAAGGAAGATTAAGACACAATATCAGAAACAATTTAAATAGGTACCTGAAGCATGATGATATCTTTATCGTACATTTCTTCTCTGCACTTAACGTCTTGGTAATAAAACACCTATAAAACAGCAGATGGAATAAAGGCTAAAAGAATTATTTCAAGCAAATTTCTCAAGAAAACCTATCCTTAAAACTGTTTCTAAGCTAGAAACTCCTTAGTGGCAAAAAATAAGTTGTATATCCATGAATCATTTAAAGGGACTTGTGAGGATGAAGAAATACGGCATGAAATCACTTCAGAATTAAAAATGTTCTATATTAGTTATTACTCTCATGTATAAAAAAAGAATTTATTTTCCCTAAGTTTAAAATACCTACTTTAATAAAAGTAAACCAATCAATCATAATATCATTTTTTCTTTTTTTAAATTTTAAGTTCCGGCATACACATGCAAGACGTATAGGTTTGTTATGCAGGTAAACACATAATACCATTTTTCTTCCAAGTGGTAGCTTTACAAGACCTATTTCCCCACCTTTTAAGAAAAGCAAGGTCAGGCGCAGTGGCTCACGCCTGTAATCCCAGCACTTTGGGAGGGAGGCAGAGGCGGATCACCTGAGGTCAGAACTTCAAGACCAGACTGGCCAACATGGTGAAACCTGGTCTTTACTAAAATTACAAAAATTAGCTGGGCATGGTGGCACATGCATGTAGTCCCGGCAACTCGGGAGGCTGCGGCACAAGAATCACTTGAACCCAGGAGGTAGAAATGGCAGTGAGCTGAGATAGCACCACTGCACTCCACAGCCTGGGCAATAGAGGGAGAGTCTGTCTCAAAAAAAAAAAAGAAAAGAAAAAAAGAAAAGCACTACTCCATATTTACTCTAAAATAGAAGACAAAATTACAAGGTGGCCTTCAATTAAGACAGATGGTGGAAAGACTAAAGGCCTCTAAGTAAGGTAATTCGCAGAAAAGAACTATGTATCAGGGAGGCCCCTGGTGGTACTATTGGCTTTCACCTAATTTATCATACAAGCACCCTAGTTTCTTATAATTCAGATGGGATACACAGTAAATAGGATAGGAGAAATGTCTATATAGTTCCTAGAACTTTTGTTTCTAAGAGTTTATATAAGAGAATAATAGCAAATACTCAGTAAAATCCAGGGACATGGGGTAAAATTATGTAAGAGGAAAATAATTGGAAAATGAACACATTCATAAATATGAATAATAGGCTTTGACATACCTGGCTAATAAGAGACAGCCCATTTCTTCGCCACATCTCAGCAACAACCTGGGCAACCAACACCAGACAACGTAAAGGATATTCCACTAGTACCTCTACTTGAAAGTCCTCCTGAAATAGAGTAAGGTCAATTTTATCATTTCTCAGGGCTTGGATGTATCTCCAAGTTAGGGCACTACATATTTTTCAGTTTTCTCATGTGTAAAACAGAAGAGCTAGCACTAGATGATGTCTAAGTCCCTGTGATTCAGATTACAATATACTATATGAAGATGTAAAATTACCAAATAGGAATTATTCAGGTAGGTTTCCAAATATTATTTTCCTTCTTGTCCATCAACCAAGAGGTATTCAGAAATAGAACACAAGCAAATCAATACTTAGTAGAATCACTTACAAAAGACACAAATTCATGCAGTCTTGAAATGGCACCCAGCCTGCTTAAACGTACATGAAGACCTAAAGTTAAAAAAAAAAAAAAGAAAAATGAGAAAACAAACCCAATTTGTTAACTAGTTAACTCATCAAGTTTAAAAATCTGTGTAATTTGGCCGGACACAGTGGTTTAGAAATTTGTGTAATTTGGCCGGGCACAGTGGCTCACGCCTCTAATCCCAGCACTCTGGGAGGCCGAGGCAGGCAGATCACCTGAGGTCAGGAGTTCAACGACTAGCCTGGCCAACATGGTGAAACCTGCTTTCTACAAAAATACAAAAATTAGCCAGGCATGATGGTAGGTGTCTGTAATCCCAGCTACTTGGGAGGCTGAAGCAGGAGAATTGCTTGAACCTGGGAGGCAGAGGTTGCAGTGAGCCAAGATCGTGCCACTGCACTCCAGCCTGGGCGATAGAGTGAGGCTCTGTCTCTTAAAAAAAAAAAAAAAAAAAAAAAAAAACAACTTATGTGATTTAAAGTATGTTTACTGAGTTTAGAAATTATACTCTAGAATGCAGATTGTTGATTTCTAATTTTGAAACACAATATTACTAACATATTTAAAATCCTACACTGTGCAAGGTGTGCTCATAACTTATATAAAAATAACATACTGTCTCTCAAGATATGTTTACTGCTTTTAGCCAAGCATCAAAAGAAATAAAAATTACCAGTTAAAACAATTCTTTAAGCATGGGGGGTTGGGGGGAGAAAAAAAAATGAAAATTTATCCAAGTATTTTTTAATAAAAATAAAAGCAACATAAAATCCCATGATGTCAATTATACCATATATAAACATTAACTCAAAATGGATCAAAGACCTTAAACACAGGTTTAAATATAGGGGCTAAAACTAAAAAATAAAACTCAAAGAAAACATAGGGAAAGTCTTCATAACATTAGATTTGACAGTAAGGTTTTGGATACGACACCAAAACCACAGGCAACAAAAGAAAAAAATAGATAAACTGGACTACAACAAAAACACCTGTGAGGCCGGGTGCGGCGGCTCACGGCTGTAATTCCAGCACTTTGGGAGGCTGAGGCGGGTGGATCACAAGGTCAAGAGATCAAGACCATCATGGCCAACATGGTGAAACCCCATCTCTACTAAAAATACAAAAAATTAGCCGGATGTGGCTACACATGCCTGTAATCCCAGCTACTTGGGAGGCTGAGACAGGAGAATTGCTTGAACCCAGGAGGCGGAGGTTGCAGTGAGCCGAGAATGCGCCATTGCACTCCAGCCTGGGCAGCAAGAGCGAAACTCCGTCTCAAAAAAAAAAAAAAAAAAAAAATCTTTGTATCAAAGGATACCATCATCAACAGAGTAAAAACGCAACCCCCAGAATGGGAGAAAATATTTATAAATCACATGTCTGTAAACAGTTATTATCTAGAATTAGATGGGCAGAACACTTGAATAGATAGTTCTCCAAAGATATACAAATGGACAATAAACAAGTGAAAAGCTGATCAAAATCACTAATCACGAGGGGCAATGCCTATCTATCAAAAGCACATGAGATACCACTTCATATCCATTAGAATGATTATTAACGGAGGTGTAGGGAGAAAAAATATCAAGTGTTGTCAAGGATGTAGATAAACTGGAATCCTAGTGCATGCTGGTGGGAATGTAGAATGGTATAGCCACTAAGAAAAACAATATGATGGTTCCTCAAAAAACTAAAAATAGAATTCCCAAATAATCCAGCAATTTCATATTTGGGTATATACCCAAAAAACTGAAAACAAGGACCTGAACAGATACTTCTATACCCATGTTCATAACAGGATTATTCATAACAGCCAAAAGGTAGTACAACCCAAGTGTCCATCAATGGATAAGTGGATGAACAAAATGTGGTATATCCATACAATGGAATATTATTCAGCCTTTTTAAAAAAGGAAATTCTGGCACATGCTACAACATAAACCTGAGGACATTATGTTAGATCAAATAAGCCAGTCGCAAAAGGATAAATACTGTATGAGTCCATTTATAATAGGTACCAAGAGTAGTCAAATTCATAGACACGGAGAGCAGTAGTTACTAGTGGGTATGGGGAAGGGGCAATGGGGAGGTATTGCTTAATAGTAAGATTATTCTATTTCAGTTTTAGAAGTTTCATTTTTAGAATATAAAAACCTTCTGGAGAAGGATGATGGTGATAGTTGAAGAATAATGTAAATATACTTAGTGCCACTGAACTGTACACTTAAAAATGGCTAAAATGATAAGTTTTATGTCATGTAATTTTCTCATTATTAAAAATATAAATATATACACTTCAATAAAGCTGTTTTTAACAAACCCTGACAAATGAATGGCCAATTTACATGAAAATGCAAATGATTAAGAAGAATCTATGATTTCTTCCTTTTAGTGATAAAGAATGATACAGATAATACACTAGTGAAATTGGTCAGAATGGAGGGTTAGAAACCAGCAACCAGATTTTAATATATTTGAATTTGGGTGGGAGATGAGTTACCACATTAGTGGTATAAGAATCCATAAGTCGACTCAGATAAAACAAAGCCCAGGTAAATAAGCATCTTTAAATAGATGTTCTGGTGACAGCTCCTTGAAGGATAGTGACAGCCCTTAAGTGCAGTATCTGACCTGAGCATGTCTGTACATAATGAGCACAGAATAAAAATAGAAATGATTCTACTAAATGGGTATCTGGAAACAAAGCTAATAGGTATATGCAAAAAGGAATAAACACTCACCAGCAAGAGTCCTAGAAAGCGGCAGATGTATGCTTACAAGATCCTCAGATACTCTGTAGGACTTCGTTTCCAAACTATGTCCACAGAATTGTACTATTGTCTTGCTACTAGACATGAAACTTGTACTGCACCTCATCACAGCTTTGTGACATTCTTTATAAGCCACAAGTAAGAGTTCTTCCTAAGAGGAAAATAATACAAAAAGTTGACAAGTTGTCTACTTCAACACCTTATTTTTTTTCAGATAGGCTGTCCTGTGGCCCAGGCTGGAGTACATGGCATGATCATAGCTCACTGCGGCCTCAACCTCCTGGGCTCAGGTGATTCTCCCACCTCAGCCTCTTGAGTAGCTGGAACTACAGGCACATGCCACCATGCCCAGGTTTTATTTATTTTTTGTAGAGGCAGGATCTCTGCATGTTGCCCAGGCTGGTTTTGAACTCCGGGGCTCAAGTGGTTTGCCCACCTTGGCCTCCCAAAGTGCATGAGCCACCATGCCCAGCATAACACACATCATTCAATACTTACTAAATATGAGTGGAAAATTGTACTAAGGCTACCTCCACAGGATCTGCAAACTTGTAGGAAATATAAGATATATCCATATATTCACTTATAATCAAATAAAAAATCAGCACTAAGTAAATGGTACAAACTAATTGCTCTAAGAGGGTTTAAAAAAAAAAGAATCACAAAGAATTGGGAAGACATATTTGTGAAAGCAGCTTCTGATGGGACCTAAAAGAATATGCAGATTTTAAGTATGAGGAAAGAGAAGCAGAAGATAGCATTCTAAGGAGAAATGTAGAATAAAGAAAGACAAAAATAAGAGAAATACAACTCCTATTCAGGCAGTGGAGAGAAATAAAGCGTAAATGAAAGGATTTATGGATGAAATTAACAAGCATTTCAACTGTAAATGTGTCTTGACACAGACATGTGACTACACTGATGAAGTCTGCGGTGTAATAATGTAATTAACACACTGCTTCAAGAAGAATTAATGTGGGTCATTGAAGACCCACTGAAGATGGTAGATTGGAGACGATAAAGTTAGGAGATATAGAAACCAACAGAGAGATGACTATAAATTGATAAGGGTCTGAACTAGGGTGGGGCCGTCACAAAAGTAAAGAATGAACCTATAGAAAATAAGTTTGGATTATAAAATAAATTTGGGATAAGAAAGAATAAAATCTGGGTGAACACAGTAGGAAGAGAGATGTTAAAGATCACTCTCTTAAGGATAGTATTTCTCATTTTATCTTGAAAAAGGAACTCCACGGTCAAACAGATGGAAACATCCCTCTCAAAAATCAACATACTGACTAACTATAGGGTTTTAGAAATTCAGTAGCTTGCCAGGCGTAGTGGCTCACGCCTGTAATCCAAGCACTTTGGAGGCCAAAGCGGGAGGATCGCCTGAGGTCGGGAGTTCAAGACCAGCCTGACCAACACGGTGAAACCCCGTCTTTAAAAAAAAAAAAAAAAAGAAAGAAAGAAAAGAAATTCAGTAGCTTTAAAAAAAAAATCCTTTTTGTGTAACCTAACATTTCTGAATCTTATGTGAACCCTGAACATTTTTCCCTTCAACAACTTGTTGGCATTGAATATATTCTGGACTTGTGTTTCCTACTTTTTTATCAGCTATAAGAATATAGTGGCTCTGGGATTTCCCATATGGATAAATTTAATAGTAGCATCACTAATAAAACAAGGATAATCAAAATGAGAAAACGCAAGTTGGAAGCGGAGGGCAGCAGGTCTATTAAAAATATTCTGAGTTTAAGGTCAGGTGTGGTGGTTTCATGCCTATAATCCCAGCACTTTGGGAGGTCAAAGAAAGAGAATCACTTGAAGTCAGGAGTTTGAGACTAGCCTGGGCAACATAGCAAGACCTTGTCTCTGCAAAAAATAAAAAAATTTAAAAAATTAGCTAAGTGTGGTGGCATGTGCCTCAAGTCCCAGCTACTTCGGAGGCTAAGGTGGGAGGATCATGTGAGCCCAGGTCAAGGCTGCAGTGAACCACGACAACGCCACTGTACTCCAGCCTGGGTGACAGAGCAAGACCCCGTCTCTAAAACACATACACACACACACACACACACACACACACACACACCCACCCACACACCCACCCACCCCCTAAGATCTAAGCAGGAATGTCTGGCACACAAACAGAAGTGACACTGTACCTTAACAGGGTCACCCTATGAACTTTTAACTAAGTGGTAGAAATACAAGAGAAGAGTAAAGAATGTAAGATATACACACTTACCATCAAAGTAAAAAAAACTTTAAGCACCATGTAAATGGGACAAACTAATTGCCCTAAGATGGCAAAGAAAAGAATCACAATTAATTAGGAAGACATATTTGTGAAAACATATTTCTGTAAGACAGAGAAGAGAGTATTGGGGAATGTCTCTTTTAGCAGGCAGAAGGTACCAGAAAAAAGGCAATCACTGACTGAAACAGGTCATCAATTATAAAAGTATTAAGATAATGCAGTTTGTGAAAACCAGAGGGAAAGAACGTTTCAAGGAGATTAAAGTACTCAAGCAAATACAATGCTACAGACAAGTCAAGGAAGATGGAAACTAAGAAAAGACCTCTGAATTTGGTTACCAAATGGATCCTCTGAGATTTTTTTTTTTAAAATGCAGTTCTTGTCAATTGCTAAGGGCAGAAGTCAAACTGCAAAGAAGTGTTAGAAGCCACAAGTGAAGATACCAAATGTATTTTCTTCTTTCGGAAGACATCAAGATGAAAATATACACCTTCATCTCATCACCTAACAATTGTGCATACCCTCCATAAAAGTGAGGGAAGCCAAAAAATATGTGTTGTGCTTGCTGGACAGTATTTCCTGTGCTGATTGTACTAAAAAGCTACAGCGCTAAACTCTATTGCATCTGTGAGTATGGCTGCTACTCTGAACCTGTGACCAATTGCTGGTGGTGAAGCAGAAGGGAAGAAGAAAAAGAGACCATAGTTCACAGGAGTAGCAAAGGCAAGAAAGGGGGCTTTTATTATTATTGTTTTTAAAAATAAGGGAGTCCTGTTTGTTTATAGTCAGCTCATTAAAAGAGTAGGAAGCACAGTCCAGATAATTCAGGATGCTAACTCCAGGGAAAAGTCACGTAAGTCAGAACCAAGAGTCTTCGTAGAGCCATTAGATTTAAAAAGAGACAAAAAGACCAATAGTGAAGACACAGAAAAACTTAGTCGCTGAATACGTAATGGTAACAGACACATAGAAACTGGAGATGATAAAGGAATTTAATTCAGCTAATGGTAATTTTCTCAGAAAATAAATAAATGAGGTCATCATTCTTAAAGGGAATCTGGGGTAGGACTGTATATTTAAAGAGGGTTATGGTCTAAAATTGTTGTTTAAGGAAATACATTAGTTCTGTATTTGGAAACTAACACAAATAACATGTGTTTTTTTTTTGAGATGGGAGTTTCGCTCTTGTTGCCCAGGCTGGAGTGCAGTGGTGTGATCTTGGCTCACCACAGCCTCCACCTACTGGATTCAAGCGATTTTCCTTCCTCAGCCTCCTGAGTAGCTGGAATTACAGGCATGTGCCACCACACCAGGCTAATTTTGTATTTTTAATAGAGACGGGGTTTCTCCATGTTGGTCAGGCTGGTCTCAAACTCGTAACCTCAGGTGATCCGCCCACCATGGCCTCCCAAAGTGCTGGGATTACAGGTGTGAACCACCATGCCCAGACATAACAGAGGTCTTGCATGAATAATCATCTACAGCTCTCCATTCTTGAAATATTTAAAAGTCTAATAAAGTCCTAATTATCATATTTTAATATGCATGTTTCAGGGAATAAATGTATATATAAATACAAACATACATATATAGAAACCCTGCTATTCCCTAAAATAAGCAAAACTACCATAGGGCACATTTTCTACTGTAGTATGTCGTTTCCTCCTAAATTTAAAAAGACGAATTCAAACATGTAAAAAGCTACTATGAATAACAAAAACTTTACATCAAGGAAGTTACAACATAAAACTATACTATTAATAATTACTATGAATGTAAAAAGGCACTGATCCTACTAACAAATTTTACTTACATCACAAGCACACCACTCTTGGAACATGAGTAAAATATTCTTTAATTGCATCTGTATAGCAATGGCAGCCTCCCAATCAGGATCCACTTCAATGTGTTGCCCAACCTGTCTTCGGATTTCTTCCATTCCCTGCAATTAAAAGTTGGTCAATATCTAACTGTTTGGGCCCTCTCTCTTTGCTCTGCTCTTGGCAAAATATAAAACTGTCAAGATTCACATGCATATATGCATAATATTTTAACATGTTTGTTACACTGGGTCAGAATGCATGGGTTCAAGTCCCAGCTCTCAGGTGTATGCTCAGGGTTAGAATATGAAATGCCAAGCCCAGCCCTGTCTGGTATTTCTAGCTGTGTGACCCTGGGCAAATTATCTCTAAGCTTAGTTACTAAATGGATCCTTAGAGATTTTTTCTAAATGCAGTTCTTGTCAATTAAAAAGGGCATAAGTCAGACTCTAAAGAAGTATTAGAAGCTAAGAAGTGAAGATACTAAATGTAGATGAATTCAGAAGGTTTAGGAGATGTCAAGATGAAAACAGGTACCTTAACCTCATCACCTAACAACTGTGCATGCTTTCCATGGGTGGGGAAGGCAAAAAAAATATGGGTTGTGCTTGCTGCACATACAAGTAACCCTTACATGTAAAATGAGAATATTAATAGCAACTACGTAATAAGACTGCTATAAGGCTCAAAAGAGATCATGCATGAAAAGTACTTACTAAACATTTATCACATGGTAAGCATTCAGTAAACATTAACAGAAGTAGCAATAGGAGACTGGGCCCAGTGGCTCACGCCTGTAGTCCCAGCACTTTGAGAGGCTGAGTCGGGCAGCAAGGTCAAGTGAGCAAGACCATTCTGGCCAACATGGTGAAACATCATCTCTACTAAAAATACAAAAATTAGCTGGGTATGGTGGCGCACACCTATAGTCCCAGCTACTCGAGAGGCTGAGGCAGGAGAATTGCTTGAACCCAGGAGGCAGAGGTTGCAGTGAGCTGAGATCGCACCACTGTACTCCAGCCTGGCGACAGAGCAAGACTCCATCTCAAAAAAAAAAACAAAACAAAACAAAGTAGTAGTAATAGTAAACTAAGGTATATAAAAAGATCTATCAAAACAGGATGAGTGAGTCAATATTTAAATCTCGTTTCTACTTTGCTGGATAAATTCTTTCTTGTATTAAAACCAAAATTTGCTTTAAAAAGACTGGAGTTAAATTTTTAAAAATAAATTTCTCTTACTGATGTACAGAAAAATGATCATACCTGCATACAGGTAAGAATCTTCAAAAAAGATCGAAAACCTTCAAGGAACTGCATCCTTAATCTTTCTGTCCATATCGTGGGTTTGCTGATCAGGATATACCTATTGTTTCAAGAAAGAAAGAAATATTTGACTTCTCTATTTTGAGATAATTTTAAAGTTCTCAGGGTTATAGACAATGTTGATTTATAAAAAAATTATGGATTGCAATTTCTTACAATAATTAGAAGCTCTGAGTAGAGCTAGAATTATTTATCCTGCCTTATTTTAAATACAACCAGTAAAACATGAATGCTCTAGAAAAGGCATATAACAAGCTAACCCTGACTTCACACACTACATTCTCAGAGGTTAGTCTGATTAAGTGAACCTCGAACTGACCAAGCCTGTCACAGCTAACTCTAGACAACCACAGTACAGATTCCCTACAATTGTTTCTACCTCCAGGAGGTAGAAAATCTGTTCCAAATCTCCTGAAAACCTGGAAAAAGGATGTAAGCACCTGTCATCTTGACTTGCACATCAGGATGTACTAGCTTCAAGAGATAAACTCATTTTAGCCTATACTTTGTATGATCAATATTTCTTTTGACTGTAAAGACAATGACTGGTTTCACATACAATGGGAACAGTGTTTATCGTGAAATGAGTTATCAGGAAGTAATTCACAAGTATTAAACACTATTTTGCACTTGACCAATGAGAATAAATTCCTGTTATATAGCAGGTGTTGGGAACAAACATGGACAAGATACACCTGTCCTGAAGTTCAAAGTATAGTGAGAAAAACAGACACGTACAGTAGACAGAAATTCAATGTTAAACACTAAAAGAATGTATAAAGGAAGTAACATAGGTACATAAAGACAAAGCAAAAAAAAAAAAATACATTTTTTTGAATTGTAAAGATAGGATTGTGGTTTAATTTTTCTCATTCTTTAGACATCCATTAATATGTAAATGTACATTAAAAACAGAATCATCAAAGGAACTTGTCAAAGATATAACAGAAATATGCTAATTACCATCTAAATCTTTTAAAGTAAAAGATAAAAAAGATTAAAATTCAGGCCAGGAGAGGTGGCTCACACCTGTAATCCCAGCACTTTGGGAGGCTGAAGCAGGTGGATCACAAGGTCAGGAGTTCAAGCCCAGCCTGACCAAGATGGTGGAACCCCACCTCTATTAAAAATACAAAAATTAGCCAGGAGCTGGGGCAGGAGCCTGTAATCACTGCTACTTGGGAAGCTGAGGCAGGAGAATTGCTTGAACCTGGGCGACAGAGGTTGCAGTGAGCTAAGATCCTGCCACTGCACTCCAGCCTGGGCGACAGAGCAAGACTCCATCTCAAAATTTAAAAAAAAGATTAAAGTTTAAAATCTGTCATATTGAACAAACAGCATTCATGTTTTGTTGCTTTCTAGAGCACTATTACTCAAAGTGTGGTCTACTAACCCATAACATCAGCCTCACCTGAGTGCTCTTTAGAAATGCAAAATCTTGGGCTCTAATCAGACTACTGAATATGAAGCCTCTTCCCCCGCCCCCACACCTCAACCCTGTTTTTTTTGAAACTTGGCCTTACTCTGTTGCCCAGCTTGGAGTGCAGTGGTGCGATCATAGCTCACTGCAGCCTCAAACTCTTGGGCTCCAGTAATTCTTCTGCCTCAGCATCCTCAGTAGCTAAGACTACAGACACATGCCACCAAACCTAGGTAATTTTATTTTTTTGTAGAGATAAAGTCTCACTATGTTGCCCAGGCTGGTTGCAACCTCCTGGTCTCAAGCAATCCTCCTGCCTCAGCCTTAGAAAGCACATGAGCCAACACAATCAGCCCCAGAATCTGAATTTTATAAAGCTCCCCAGATGATTTTCTTCTGCACAGCACAGGAAACTATCAACAGAGTGAAGAGACAATCAACAAAATGGGAGAAAATTTTTGCAAACTATGCATCTGACAAAGGCCTAATAGCCAGCATCTATAAGGAACATAAACAAAATTTAGAAGGAAAAAAAATTAAAAAGTGGGCAAAAGATATGAACGGAACACTTTTTAAAAGAAGACATACATGCGGTCAACAATCACATGAAATGAAGCCCAACATCACTCATCATTAGAAAAATGCAAGTCAAAACCACAATGAGGTAGCATATCACACCAGTCAGAATGGCTACTATTAAAAAGTAAAAAGTAACAGACGCTGGGGAGACTGCAGGGGAAAAGGAATGCTTATACACTGTTGGTGGGAGCATAAATTAATTCAAGCATTGTGGAAGACAGTGTAACAATTCCTTGAACGCTTAAAAACAGAAATACCCAGCAATCTCATTACTGGGTATTCATCTAAAGGCATATAATTCATTCTGTTATAAAGACACATGCACACATACGTTCACTGCAGCACATTCACAATAGCAAAGACATGGGATCAACCTAAATGCCCATCAATGACAGACTGGATAAAGAAAATGTGGTTCATACACACCACAGAACACTATGCAGCCAGAAAAAGAATGAGATCATGTTTTTTCTGAAAACATGAATGGAGCTAGAGGCCATTATCCTTAGCACACTACAGCAGGAACAGAAAACCAAATGCCACATCCTCTCACTTACAAGTGGGAGCTAAATGATGAGAACACCTGGACACACAGAGGGGAAAAACACACACTGGGGGCTATCGGAGGATAGAGGTTGGGAGGACGGAGAGGATCAGGAAAAATAACTAATGGGCACTAGGCTTAACACCTGGGTGATGAAATAATCTTTACAACAAACCCCGTGACACAAGTTTACCTATGTAAGAAGCCTGCAAATGTATCCCTGAACTCAAAATAAAAGTTAAAAAAAAAAAAAAGGCAGCTCCCCAGATGATTTGCATTCACATTAAAATTTGAGAAGCACTGATCTAGAACACAATTTACATTTTTGGTTTCTAGCAATCTCACATAGCTCATGAGTGACCTCTATAGATTACCTACTAAGTAAAGAAGATATAAGAGATTGGAACAAACAAAAATGTAAGGAAGAGAAGGAAATGGAGTCTGTAGAAAAAAATACGTGACAAAAGCAATGGGACAAGAGGAAGAAAAGCATGGAAAGGGTGAGACAATAAGGGACTGATTTGGTTTGAGAGTGTACTATACTTTCTGGAAATGGAACACAGGAAGAGGTTGAAGTAATAAAAGAATAATATTGTTCCCCAATAGAACCAAGATTCAACTGCATCTCTTTTCCAAGTTGCATTTCCACAATAAATTAGCAACTGAGAAACCAAGTACCCCATGAGATACCTCCCATGGAGCAAGTGACAAAACTAAATTAATAGGCATATATTTTTTAGAATAAGAGAGGTAGTAATCCCTCCCTTCTATATTTTACTGGGCAGATCTCAGTTATAGTGCTATGCTCATTTCTTGGCACATAAACAGTATACATGCACCCAGAACAGGTTCAGTAGAAAAGGATAATGATTTAGAAGTAATTTTAACCAACATGAAATAGGAACAGTTAAAGAAATAAATGTAACAATATATAAAAGACTTGGCAGATATGACTGCTGACTTTAAATACTTCTTCAAGTTAAAGGAGAACTGAAGTTGTTCTGAATGGACAAAGAGAGAACTAGAACCAGAAAATAAAAGCTACAAAAAAAATGTTCAATATGCAATAAGAAACTTTATAATAGTTGGAAGAAGCTATCCAAAGTTGGAATGTGCTGTTTTGAGAGAAGGAAAATTTCCTAAGGCAAGCTGAACCAAGTACCTACTAGTACCAACAAAGTTATTTCATGCTGAGGTACAGTCAGATAAACACCTACAAGTTCTGACAGAATTTAGACTTTATCCTGGAAACAAAATACATTAAGTATGGTTATTTTCTAACTTATTTAAAAACGAGGATTCGGGGGAAATTAGTAAATAAATATGTAAGGAAAGACTAAGATGTGACTGCAGAATTTCTACAATGAGAGACTGAGAAAAGAGTGAACACAAATTATTTGCTAAATAAAGGGTTTTTGTGATTAGTGTTTTAGGCCAGGTTTCAGAGCAGGTCTTGTGTTGCTGTTTATGTATCCTGTGAGACTACATGATATAATGAAAGGAACATGAGTTTTACAGATAAAAAGTGTTTATGATCATATCTCGGTTCTGCCACTTACTAGCTTTGTGACCTTAGGCACATATTTACAATCTACAAAGGAAGACTGTATCAACTACCTTCTAAGAACGATGCAAAAATAAAATCAGGTAAAATAACTGAAGCTCCTCGGCACATAGTTACTAATAAATTTCACAGGATCCTTGTGAGAGTGAATTACACAGTACCTGTCAAACAGGGTCCCAAAATGTGTTAATTTTCCCTTCCCCTGGTCACTAGAGACATCCATATTTAGGATGGGGTGTAGGGGAGGAATTGTAAGCATCAGAAGATTTAAAGTTGCCATCCAAACCAGGGACCTTAAAGTTCTACTATAAGGGCAGGTATTTAGGGATGTGCTGGCTCGAAATTATTCACCTTAGAGACTAACTATAGTCAGAGACTATATACACCACTTATCTGGATATAAAAATAACTCAGTTATAAAAATACTTCACAGTAATGACAGCCACAGTAGAGAGATTCTTTTTTTTTCTATAAAGTAGACCAAGGATATTCACTGACTTAACAATAACTTTAAGTACTGCCATTAGCAGTTTTTGTTTTGCACAACCTCTCATTTTTGCACAATTTGGATAAGGAACAAATTTCAATCACAGTGGCTACATATTGATTAACTACTGAATTTACCTACCATCTCTACTTATACTGAAGATGAACCAAAACAATTTACTAAACTTGATTTTATTTTTTTAGAGATAGAATCCCACTCTGCTGCCCAGGCTGGAACGCAGTGGCATGATCATAGTTTACTGTAACCTCAAACTCCTGGAGTCAAATGATCTTGCCTCTGCATCCTGAGAAGCTAGGAATAAAGGCTTGCACTGCCATACCTGGCTAATTTTTATTTTTATTTTTTGTAGAAGCAAGGTCTTGCTATGCTTTCCAGGCTGGTCTGATATAGATGCAATTTTTTTAAATGGAGTATTTTCAGTCTGTGGTTGGTTGACCCACAGATAGGGAGAATCAACTGTATAGGAAAAAGGGAGTTTAAAAACCGTTTATAGCTAGGTGTGGTAGCTCATGCCTGTAATCTCAACACTTTCAGAGGCCAAAGCAGAAGGACTGCTTGAGCCCAGGAGGTCGAAATTAGCCTGAGCAACAAAAAGTGAGACTTCATCTCTACAGAACAATAAAAAATTAGCCAGGTGTGGTGGGACATGCCTGTGGTCCCAGCTACATGGGAGGTTGAGGCCATGAGGTTGAGACTACAGTGAGCCATGTTTGCATCACTGCACTCCAGCTTGGGCAACAGCAGAATGCTGTCTCAAAAAAAAAAAAAAAAAAAAGAAAGTAAAGAAAGAAAGAAAGAAAAAAGAAAATAAGTAAAAGAAAAAGAAAGAAATTTACATCAATAGATTATCTGAAACTATGCACAAAGAGACTATACAGGAAGGACAAAACCAAAGCATGTAAGTGGAAGTGAGTGAAAAGTAAGGTAATTACAATGGAAATGCATTTGGTGATTCCAGGAGACCCCAAGTTCCTGTAAGAGGTCTCCCCACAATACTTTCTTTATTAACCAGGTTTTACAACTCAATAAGAAGCCTTTACTGAAGACATTTATTAACCCAAGGCAGTAACAGTTCTTTGTACTTGCCATCATTATAAAGAGAATTCTAGGTAAGTAAAATGATCAGAGGATTACTTATAAGACAGTGCAAATAAGCACACTGAGTTTAACAGGTGCCTTCACTTTTAACTTGAACAACTTACTTTAGGTCACATATTACTGCATATACTCTTCCCAATTTGTCCTGGCTATAACCCTGGAAGTTGAATTTATTGTTCCTGTCCAAGTACTCAGGTAAAACTTCTAGTAGAGTTTCAGTAATGACAGAGATAACATTCTGCTCTTCAATAAGATGTCGAGCCTGCAGAATATTTCAAGAATATTGTCTTTAGCATTAACTCATTGTGGTATGGACTTGATTTATTCATTCATTTGGTTAGTAAGTCATTTTTAATAAATGTTTGTTATTGAATGTTAAACACAGTCCTTAGTCTCACTGCATAGCAACTACAAAGAAGTTATTTTCTAAAAGGAAAAATTCCCTACTCCTCCATAACTAGACAACATATATCTGGATACCCCAAATCCATTATACACATTATCTAGATAAATGTTTATCATCAGTAATCACACAATTAAGCCGGGTTTGTGGTGGCTCAAGCCTGTAATCCCAGCACTATGTGTGGCAGAGGCAGGCAGATCAGCTGAGGTCAGGAGTTTGAGACTAGCCTGGCCAACATGGTGAAAAGCTGTCTCTACTAAAATATAAAAATTAGCCGGGCATGGTGATGCACGCCCGTAATCCCTGCTACTTGGGTGACTGAAGCATGAGATCACTTGAACCCAGGAGGTGGTGGCCGCAGTGAGCCAAGATCATCCCACTGCACCTCCAGCCGGGGCAACACAAGCAAGACTGTGTCAAAGAAAAAAGAAAAAGAAAAAGAAAAGAGAAAAGAAAAGAAAGAAAGAAAGAAAGGAAAGAGAGAGAGAGAGAGAGGAAGGAAAGAGAGAGGAAGGAAGGAAGGAAGGAAGGAGGGAGGGAGGGAGGGAGGGAGGGAAGGGAGGGAGGGAGGGAAGGAAAATAAATAAGTAAGTATACAAAGGAAGCAGAATCTTCCACTCTCCTCCCAGGCCTATGTACCACCATCTCCCCCAAATGCTTGACAGGCATACCCTCCGGCTTCTTAGTTTTATCTTCCTCTATCTGCCTACAAACAATTCTTAAAATATTTTTGGTATTGAAAAGGCAACATTCCTAAGTTACTAAGGTACTCTAGAGAGTAAGAAACCAGCTGTAGGTGTTATCTGCATTGACTAGGACATGTGAACCAAGGCAGTGCCTCGTTAACTAGTCCTTGGGTACCAATGAAGAATTCACATAGCCCAACTTAGTGATTCTAACATTGTTCTAATTTGATTAAATATTAAGTGAAATTCTTACAAAGCAATACAAGTTTTACTGGGGAAGACTGAAAAGGAATAATCAATACATACCAGAGTAGGAACAGTAAACATCTGAACTGAAAGTGCAGTTATAGAGATACTTCTGTCATGATCATCACTGATATATTCTTTCTGCAGTTGTTTATAATACTGAAATATATAGAGAATCAATCACAAATCACTACTAAAGACTTTTAAAAATCCCAATTTTAACAACTGCTACAAGTTTGTTTCTGTCTATAAAATGTCAAGTAATATAATTCCTATTTATTAAGGCAAGATATTATGATCAGCAAAAATATCTTAGAAGGAGAAAAACAACGAATCAAGTAAAAATTCACCTACTGAATTTAGCAGATAGGAGTGGAAACTATTAAAACATACACATGGTGGGGAGGGGCGGTTAAAAACAACAACAACAAAAAAAAAAAAAAAACAGAGGACTGTAATAGTATACTTTATCCTTTCTCCAAACAGAATCTGAGGCAATCTTTAGCAGCTTCTACTCTAATGGTATAGGGCAGGAGATATATTCAAAGTATTTAACAGCTGATAAAATTCAGAAAAACCAACCAATCAGACTGAATCCAGCCTTAAACAGAATGGATCCTGGCTGTAAATAACTTCTTTCCCATTCTGGTGCATAACAGCTGCAAAACAACCCTGATATGCTGGGAGAACAAAAATAGTAATATACTCAGTCACATAACAAGCATCTACATGTGTAAGGCACAAAGTTGGATACTTAACCTATGTAATTAATTTTACCCTCTGGAATTCCTACAAAGTTTAAGGTGTAACCATGGTGTATGAAAAAAAAAATCATCTAAGTAGGGAGATTAGCTTTTGTATAAGAAAACAAAATTTCATTTCAGATCACACATATGGTCCAATATTCTATATCTAAAGAGTTTTGGAAGAGAAAATCTTGAGTTGCCATCACTGCTGAAAGATAAGACATACAATAAATGTCTTAGTTAGTCTGAATATAAAATCCAGGGAATGCAGGTATCTTATCCCACAGTGTCATTTGCCTACAACAATCATTATTTCTTTCTCTGCTCCTAATTCCATCTTCGGTCCCATATGTATCTTAAGTCTTACAGAATTGCCTGCAACCCAAAATCAGAAGAAATCAACAAGTATTCATTGGATACCTTTATATAAGGCAAAGTAAAAGATTCAGAGGAGTCCCTGATTTGTATAACCTTGCAATCTAATTTGGCAGGTAGACAAAAAAAACACAATAAGGTAAGATATATACGATAGATTAATAAAACATTAAAAAGCTGTAAAGGTTAGCCTTGCATTTTAGCTTCCAACAATTAAATAGAACTCTTGGCCACCTAATTCCTGTCCCCTGCTTTAGCATGCACATCTGTTCTTCTTTTCTGTTATCCTTTTCAATTACTCACTTCTATTCTTATTGTAATTTTGCTAACAGGCAAATAAATGATTAGAAAGATTGAATGCACATGTGAATGTGATAACCTCCCTTTGCTCTGGGTCAGTAGGTTATTTTCCACCTATCTCTTCTCCAAGAATCCTGTTTCCATACTACCAAATGACATTTGTGAAAATGTTTATGCAATGTATGAGAACGAACTTTTTTCTTTTTTTGGAGATGAAGCCTCCCTCTGTCACTCATGCTGGAGTGCAGTGGCTTGATCTTGGCTCATTGCAAACTCTGCCTTCCAGGTTCAAGTGATTTTCCTGCCTCAGCCTCTTGAGTAGCAGGGACTACAGGTGCCTGCCACCATGCCTGGCTAGTTTTTATATTTTTAGTAGAGATGGAGTTTCACCAGTTGTCCAGGCCAGTCTGGAACTCCTGACCTCAAATGATCCACCCACTTCGGACTCCCAAAGTGCTAGGATTACAGGCGTGAGCCAACCTGCAGGGCCAAGAACTAACTTTTGACAAAGAAATATGTAATGACATTTAATTCTTGATTCATAATTATCCCTGTTTCTATTAATTCGTTTATAAAAACTGCCTATTTCTATTTATTGATAAGTAATTTATAAATAATTACCTTCACAAATTCCATAGCAAAGAGTTTTTTGTATTCCATCTCCATAAAAAAACTGCTGAAGATCAATTCATGAATGATCTTACGGGCACCTATAGATTATTTTGGGGAGAGTGGGGGAATAAGAGGAAATCACCAAGGCAAAAACCAAAAACATTCCAGGTATTAGAGTGGGAGAATATTAGAATTATTTCATATGCACCTCTCCCACCACTTCATCTTACACTTCAATTTATCCTCTCCCAACCTTTTCATTTTCTATTTAACTCAAAAGTACTTTAATTCCGTACTTTTCCTTTTCCATGCTTTTAGCTTTTCTCTTGACTTTTGTGTTTTGTTCTTCATGTAGATTTTCACAACAAAAACTAACAGCTTTTTTTTTTTGCCATTCAATAATGGCACTACATGAATATATAGATATATGTATAGACATATACACCATTTTGACTGGCACTCACTAAATGAAAAGGCTGTGTACTTAAAAGACAACATCCCTGGGTTTTAACACCAAAGAATACATACTGACTGGTTAAACTTTATATTCACATGTAATATCTTATCAATCAAAATCACAGATTTAATAACTAATTTAATAAATAAAAGATATTACAGCTCTAGTTTAAGGTCATAATCTTCCTTCGCTTCCCAACAAACAGCATAAGCAACTGTCTACTTACCTTTATAAAGCTTTGCATCCCAAAGCATTAACCTGCTTATGAGACAGGGATTCTCTGAGCCAGGTTCTTCTCTAAGGCATGCTTGGCAAAAGATCTGCCTAAAGTCACCTATAAACAAAAGAGGTCACACAATTAAACAACTTGTATTCTTTTTTTTTTTTAAATAGAGATTGGTCTCGCTTTGTTGCCCAGGCTGGTCTTGAACTCCTGGGCTCAAACGATCCTCCTGCCTCAGCCTCTCACAGTGCTGGGATTACACTCATAAGCCACTATACTTAGCCATAATTTTTGTTCTTATAATATTTCTCCTAAAAGTACATTTCCTATAATAACATATAAAAAGACTAACAGTAATCCTCCCACATTTGATGTAAAGAATAATTCTGTCAATATCAAAGACTCAACAACCAATAAAAAGATAGTACTTGATACTGTGCACTTGAAATAATACCTTATGATATTATGCATCTGAAATGCAATCCTGAAAATTAACGAAATGTATAAACCAAAAAAAACTTTATTTCATAAACAAATGGCATTTTAAAATTTGTGGCTATAAAAAACACAAATATTTTATCAGAAACAAGAAAAACAGGAGGTATGCTTACTTGAATAGCTCATAATTTTGTTCATCCAGGAACCAAGACGCAAAGCAAATTTCTGATGAGCCATAATCTCTGAGTGTAATACTTCTACATGAAGTGGATGTTGAGAGACATTTTCTGAATGACTCTACAAATGAGGGAACAAACCAAAAAACTAGCATTTAAAACTTGCTTTCAGCTGAGGGATCTAGACTTCAAAAAAAGAAATCACATAACCCAGTCAGTTCCAAATCTCTGCATCTAGGTGCCCCAAACCACTTCAACAATATCACTCAAATCATTTTACTTGGGTTCTTATAGTGTACATTTGTCTTTAACGTCTCTTTTTCTCCCTAATTCAGGAAGTTACCTTTATATCTTCCTTTGCTTCCTGGCAAGCAGCATAACCACCTGCTTTAACAGCCCGACGACCCTAATTATAGACAAAAGTGAGAATTAGGTAGTGAAATGATAACCACAATCAATAACCAATATGTAGCCCAAATACTTAATGAGCTCTCAATTACTAAGCACTTGTTGACTAAAAGTTTTAAGATATTGGAACAATACCTGAAAGACAGATACAAATGTTTCACACCTTTATGAAGTATGAGAACTTTCAATGCCTCTAGGAGAGATGTTCTGTAATTTAAGATACTGAGTTTCTTGCCTGCAAGAATGCCCCTTCTTTAGTTACTGTAGTGTTCTCTCTACTTATACGAAACAATGACTCAGGTTTTCTAAACTTCCGCTATGTGTTTAAAATATTCTTTATGAAGGAATTCACAGCTCCTTAACATGTATCCTAATATATACTTGTGGCCTATTAACAGGCTGGAAGTATAACAACTACTGATTCCACCAGTCCTGGAGGCAGTCATGCAAGGTCTATGTAGAATTTTCTTGTAGCTCATTCTTTTACCCATCTATAAAAATTTATCATTTTCTATGTATGCCATTTGAATAAAGTCAGGAAGCACTGTCTTCCTCATTTAACCTCTACAATCACCCTATGAAGAAGGTACACCCCATTTTACAGATGACAAAAAGAAAAACAAAACAGAATTAATGTATCTCCAAATCAGAAAGTTAGCAAGTGACAGATTCAGAGATACATGACAAGTAGTTCATCTCCAGAGTCTGCACTTCTAGCCATCCTATAATAGTCCCTCTTAAGCTCCTTAGGACATAAGCATAAGAACTATCCAAATATATATGGACTACTCATTACACCAGTAAGGTTGCCATTACAGAAAAAGAAAAATGCACAAAAACTCAGGCTGTAAGAGATTTTTAAAAGAACAGATAAGACAAGAATAGTTGTATGAACTCTAGCTCAATGACCTTATGTGATGCTGGCAATTAACCTAAAGCAGTGCATCTCAATAAACCGGGGGAGGAAAATGACCTCATATCCATATTTTTTGGCTGCTATCAAAAAATGACAGGAGAGTTGGCTGCTGATCATGGCGGACAGGAGGCAGGACTAGATTGTAGCTCCGACTCAGATGGATGGAGCAGTGCATGGAGGCTCACATCATGAATTTTAACTCCAGAACAACTGCAAGAACAAACCAGGAATCCAGAGAGGACCCACAGACCTTCTGAAGGAAGCAAACTGCTCCTGCAGGACCTGGGAGACACCTCACATACTCACTCTCACTACTGGCTATCTATCCAGAGGAAGTCATTATATGAAAGATACTTGCATATGCATGTTGATAGCAGCACAGTTCATAATTGCAAAATCATGGAACAAACTCAAATGCCCATCAGTCAATGACTGGATAAAGAAACTGTGGTGTATACACATACACACATGCGTGCACACACACGATGGACGATTACTCAGCCATAAAAAGGAATGAACTGACGGCATTTGCAGCAACTTGGATGAGACTGGAGACTATTATTCTAAGTGAAGTAACTCAGGAATAGAAAACCAAACATCATATATTCTCACTGATATGTGGGAGCTAAACTATGAGGATGCAAACACATAAGAATAATAGAATGAACTTTGGGGACTTGGGGGGAAGGGTTGGAGAGGGACGAGGGATGAAAGACCACAAATAGGGTACAGTATATACTGCTCAGGTGAAGAGTGCACTAAAATCTCACCACTAAAGAACTTACTCATGTAACCAAATACCACCTGTACCCCAATAAGCTATGGGAAAAAAAATGAGTTGGCTATAAAAAAAACCACTAATAACAAGTATTAACAAGGATGTGGAGAAACCCTTGTGCACTGCTATAGAATATATAAAATGGTGCAGCTGCTATGGAAAACGGTATGGTTGTTCCTCAAGAAATTAGAAATAGAATTCTTATATGATCCAGTAGTTCCACTTATGGGCATGTACCCAAAAGAACTGAAAGCAAGGACTTGAACGAACATTTGTGGATCCATGTTCATAAGAGCATTATTCACAATAGCAAAAGGTGGAAGCAACCCAAGTGTCCATTGACAAGATGCACAGGTAAACAAAATATGATGTGTGTGCATACATACTGTATACAATACAAAACTGTAATCTGTGTGTGTATATATATATGCCATATATGCCATACACTCTATGTATGTATATACCATATATATGTATGTGTGTATATACAGTAAAAAATATATATTTATATACAAATGTAACATTTATATATAAATATATATTACACACATAGTATAACACTATTCAGCCTTAAAAAAGAAATCCCACCACTTGGCAAAATGTGTGTATTTTATATGTATATGATATAATATTACACACATAGTATAATATTATCTATTCAGCCTTAAAAAAGAAAGAAATCTCATCACTTGATAAAATATGGATAAACTTTGAGGACATTATACTAAGTGAAATAAACCAGTCACAAACAGACAAATACTGCATGATCCCACTTATATGAGCTATCTAAAATATTCAAGCTCTTAGAAAGCAGAATTGGTGGTTGCCAGGGGCTAGAGGGAGGGTAAAAGGGGGAATTGTTCAATGAATATAAAGTTTTAGTTCTGCAAGATGGAAAAGTTCTAGAGATCTGCTGTATAACAATGCACATAGTTAACACTAGTATACTGTACCCCTAGAAAAAGATTAAAATGGTATATTTTGTTATGTAGATTTTACCACCATTAAAAATTTTATTGAATGAATGAATGGAGATGGAGTCTCACTCTGTAGTCCAGGCTGGAAGACAGTGGTGTGATCAAAGCTCACGACAGCCTTCAACTCCCAGGCTCAGCCTCCTAAGTAGCTGGGACTACAGAAATCCAATAAAAATAACCTTTCTTAGTGACCAAAAAATGGGGGTGGGAGTAGATCAACTGGAGGGAGGCAGTGTTTTCAAAGTACGCGGTCATTTCTTTCCTCTTCTCTTCTCCATACTCCTAATTCTGATTTCCTAGGTTTGGGCTGGCATGTCTACTCTGAAAAAAAAAAGTATTTCCAAGTGATTTCTAATAGGTTACCTTTATCCTCATACTATAGCTGAAAACACAGAACTACAAGAGTGTATCTTTAAGGGTTTGTAAAACAGACTAACTGCAAGAGTTTCTTCTAGCCAAGGAGTACATTTTTCACCTTAATTGGGTGTACAACCTTATCTCATGTCCTATTTTACCTTCTGAATAATCATTTATTAAAAAACTTTTCTTGGAATCACCATCGCCTTACGGAGTCTTTGGACCCCCAAAACAAGACAACCTATGAGTAAGTAGATTAGCTGTAGCTACAGGCCTTCTCCACTTTGACTACAGAGGAGAGCAGTAACAGGAATAAGACTAGGAAGAGATAGGGCAAAGACTGGGAGACACAGATCTTTCCATTCCATATGAAAACCAACAAAGCACAGCCCCATGCTTTCCCAAGCCAATTCTTCTCCTGGGACACTGGTTTACCCTACTGGTATGTGTCTTGTAAGAGTCCTAAGATCATGGTAGCTTACAGTAATCTTCCCAGAATATATCTTGGTATCTACCAAGATTTTCTCTTATAATCTGCAATATTAACCATGTACATAAGATGGCAAAAATATGACCTGGGGGCTAGGCACAGTGGCTCACACCTGTAATCCCAGAACTTTGGGAGGCCAAGATGGGCAAATAATCTGAGCCCAGGAGTTCGAGATAAGTGTGGGCAACATAGTGAGACCCTGTCTCTTAAAATAAATTATTTTTTTAATGTGAACTTAAAAAGAACACCATTACATATTTAAAATTTCTCTTGAATGCCTGTTTCTTTCATAAGAACAGTATAGAATAATAATTTGAAGGCAGATTCAATCTGATTCATCTTTGTATTTCCTCAAAGTGCTTTAATAAATGTTTAGTGAAATGATTTATAGTACCACATTTTAAGATAATCTCTGATAAACTATTATTTACCTAGGGGGAGGAGGTGGAGAGAAGGAAATAGAGCTTGATCAGTATGAGCTTATTATCATAGAACAGTAGAAGAAAACAAACATAAGAAATTATAGTCTTTAAAAACTATTTGATGGGTTACTGTCTGAAAGCAAAAGAAGACCTCTTCTGGGTTGTTTTAAAAAAATTAGTCTGAAAGCACATGGAGACAGATTTTGGGTTAACACAGGAAAAAAAAATGTCTAAGAATGAGAGTTGTCCAACAAGCCAAGCAATCAGAGAAACAAACTCTCTAAGTGCTCAAAGCACAAGTTAGAGGACCAAGGATACTGTGCTCTCAGTATGAGGATGGCCAACTGCAGTGGTTTTTCACTATTTCCTATCTTACATCTTTTTTTTTAAGAGATAGAATCTTGCTCTGTTGCCCAGGCTAGACTGAAATGGTGCAATCTTGGCTCACTGCAACCTCCACCTCCCAGGTTCAAGTGATTCTACGTCCTCAGCCTTCTGAGTAGCTGGGATTACAGGCATGCACCGCCATGCCAGGCTAATTTTGTATTTTTAGTAAAGATGGGGTTTCGCCATATTGGCCAGGCTGGTCTCCTGACCTCAGGTGATCTGCCCGCCTCAGCCTCCCAAAGTGCTGGGATTACAGGTGTGAGCCACCACAAGCAGCCCTATCTTACATCTTAATACTCACTTTATCACCAAACAGGATCAGACTAGGACAAAAACAAAGGCTCCACTTTTCTCCTAAGAAGAATATTTAAAGATTGTCTTTTAAGGTCTTTTTGATTACAGCCACCTAATGTTTTCCGAATGAGACAGGGTATAAACATATATCTAATAATTATTGTGAAAATCCAACATCCCAAGTAGGTTTTACTTTATACAACTAGTACTGTAGTTGAAAATCACGAGCCTGATTAACCTTTAAAGTTCCTTCTATAGCCTATAACTACAGTGTACCAATGGTAATATAAGTATTGACATCTGATCAAACCTGGTATCATTCTGAAGGACTAAAAACTATTTGTTAAATACCCCATTTCATTTTTTTTCTTCCATTATTTTCTGTCTTCTTTTCCCATCTCTATTCTTTTTGGCTTTTCTTTCTTTTGCCTTCTTTTCTCTTTCTTCCTCTGACTGGTTCTCCTTTCCTAGTCTTCCCCCTCCTTTTTTTTTCTTCTTTTAAGTTCCAGGGTACAAGTGCAGGATGTTCAGGTTTGTGACATAGGTAAACATGTACCATGGCGGTTTGCTGCAGAGATCAACCCATCACCTAGGTATTAAGCCCAGGATCCATTAGCGATTCCTCCTGATACACTCTCCCCCCCATCCCCCAACAGGCCCCAAGTGTGTTGTTCCCCACCAAGTGGTCATGTGTTCTCATCATTCAGCTCTACTTATAAGTGAGAACATGCAGTATTTGGTTTTCTGATCCTGTATAAGTTTGCTGAGCATAACGGCTTCCAGCTCCATCCACATTCCTGTAAAGAACACAATCTTATTCCTTTTTATGGCTGCATTTCTCTAATGATCAATGATGTTGAGTTTTTTTTCACGTTGGCTGGCTGCAAGTATGTCTTCTTTTGAGAAGTTCATGTCTGTTTATGTCCTGTGCCTACTTTTTAGTGAGGTTGTTGGTTTTTTTCTTGTAAATTTGTTTAAGTTCATTGTAGGCTGGGTATTAAATCTTTGTCAGATGGACATATTGCAAAAATGTTATCTTATTCTGTAGGTTGTCTGTTCACTCTGATGACAGTTTCTTTTGCTGTGCAAAAGCTGTTTAATTAGATCCCATTTGTCAATTTTTATTTTTGTTGCAATTGCTTTTGGTGTTTTTGTAATGAAATCTTTGCCCATGCCTATGTCCTGAATGGTACTGCCTAGATTTTTTTCTAGGATTTGTTTTTTCAGATGAAGTCTCACTCTGTCGCCAGGCTGGAGTGCAGCAGCGCGATTTTGGTTCACTGCAACCTCCACTTCCTAGGTTCAAGCGATTCTCCTGCCTCAGCCTCCTGAGTACCTGAGACTACAGGCATGTGCCACCACGTCCAACTTATTTTTGTATTTTTAATAGAGAAGGAGTTTCATGATGTTAGCCAAGATGATCTCAATCTTTTGACCTCATGACCTGCCCACCTCAGCCTCCCAATATGCTGGGATTACAGGTGTGAGCCACCATGCCCAGCCAATTTTCTAGGGTTTTTATAGTTTTGGATATTACATTTAAGTCTCTAATCTATCTTGAGTTAATTTTTATATAAGGTATAGGGAAGGGGTCCAGTTTCAATTTTCTGCATATGACTAGCCAGTTATTCTAGCACCGCTTATTGAATAGGGAATCCTTTCCCCATTGCTTGTTTTTGTCATGTTTGTCAATGATCAGTTGGTTCTAGGTGTGCAGTCTTATTTCTCAGTTCACTATTCTGTTCCATTGGTCTATGGGTCTGTTTTTGTACCAGTACCATGCTGTTTTGGTTACTATAGCCTTGTAGCAGAGTTTAAAGTAGGGTAAAGTGTGATGCCTCCAGCTTTGTTCTTTTTGCTTAGAATTGTCTTGGCTGTTGAGGCTCTTTTTTGGTTCCATATGAATTTTTAAATCATTTTTTCTAATTCTGTGAAGAACATTAATGGTAGTTTAATGGGAATAACACTGAATCTATAAATTACTGTGGGCAGTATGGTCGTTTTCACAATGTTGATTCTTCCCATCCATGAACATGGAATGTTTTCCCATGTTTTGTGTCCTCTTGAGCAGTGGTTTATAGTCTACCTTGAAGAGGTCCTTCACTTCCCTTGCTAGCTGTATTCCTAGGTATTTTATTCTCTCTGTAGCAATTGTGAGTGGACGAGTTCATTCATGCTTTGGCTCTCTGCTTGCCTGCTATTGGTATGTAGGAATGCTCTTTTGCCTGCTAAATCTTCACCTTTCTTGTGATCTTTAAGGACTGCCTTACCTTCCTTTTTCTCAATCTTCTTAACTGTAGATAAATATAGCTTTCAACCATTCCTCTTAAAACTCACTCATACTCCTGGCTCTTCACTTCCTTACAATAAATCTAATTTCAGAAATCTACCAACCACAGAGAACACACTTATTAAAATACTTGAGCTGTGTTAAATTACAAGGAAACTGGAAAGAGTCAATCTGAGACCAGTAATGATTAACACAGATTTAACACCTCCACTTGACTATATCTAACTTACAAGGTCATCCAAAACTTAGGAGAAAACACAGCTCACATTTATATGCTGATCATATCAGTAAATAACTGTTTATTTTAGCCTTTGAGCAAACAGAGACTTATTTATATAGAAGAAAAATGCTGGAAAAAACATAGGCTGACCAAAATGTGCTCCTTGAATTAGGAGTACAAAAATCACCTGGGAACTTGTTAGAAATGAAGAACTGAACTGCATACCCCATGGCAAATCAGAATTTACATTTTGCTTTGCTTTAGTTTTTTTTTGTAGAGACAGAATCTCGCTATGTTGCCCAGGCTGGTCTCAAACTCCTGGCCTCAAGCAATCCTCCTATCTCAGCCTTCCAAAGTGCTAGAAGTACAGGCATGAGCCACGGCACCTGGCCCCTAGAATCTGCATTTTTTTTTTTTTTTTTTTTTTGAGACAGAATCTCCCTCTGTTGCCCAGGCTGGAGTGCAGTGGCATAATCTCAGCTCACAGCAACCTCTGCCTCCTGAGTTCAAGCGATTCTCCTGCCTCATCCTCCTAAGAGAAGCTGGGACTACGGGTGCCCACCACCATGCCTGGCTAATTTTTTTGTATTTTGAGTAGACATGAGGTTTCACCATATTGGCCAGGTTGATCTCAAACTCCTGACCTTGTGATCCGTCCACCTCAGCCTCTCAAAGTGCTGGGATTGCAAGCGTGAACCACCAAGCCCGGCTTTCTTTTTTCTTTTTTTGAGATGGGAGTCTCGCTCTGCTGCCCAGACTAGAGTGCAGTGGCACAATTTTGGCTCACTGCAACCGCCGCCTCCCAGGTTCATGCAATTCTCCTGCCTCCTTAGCCTCCCAAGTAGCTGGGACTACAGGTGCATGCCACCACACTGGGGTAATTTTTTTGTAATTTTTTTTAGTAGAAACGGGGTTTCACCATGTTAGCCAGGATGGTCTCAATCTCCTGACCTCATGATCCACCCACCTCAGCCACCCAAAGTGCTGGGATTACAGATGTGAGCCACTGTGCTCAGCTGCATTTTTAATAATGTGAATTATTAAACTTTTCAGGTTAAAATTAAACTTTGAAGAGTACCATTCTAACCAGAATTCTTATCTACTCATAATGGGTTACTGGTGTGCCAAGATACTGATCCTCTTAATTCTCCAGGTACTAAACACAGGTTTATGAAATAGAGATAATAATATTATCAATCTCAAAGGGTTTACTTATGGCTATGGGGGTTAAATGAGATATTACATATAAAGTATACCATGTCTGACATATGTAAATACTTCGAAAATGTTAGCTATTACTAGCTATTCATATCCTTTTGTTTTTTTCATTTTATTTGCTCTTTCATTAATGATTTGCAATCACATAAGCTATACATAAGAAACACAGAGAAAGTTAATCCCCATTCTAATTCTATATTAAACCATGTGTTTTTAAAAAGTATATTAAAAATCAAAAAATTAAATTACTAATGTCATGCTATTTCTTACACTAGATTATATAGCACCCAAGGGCAAGGATGAAGTTAATATTCCTTTTATATACTTATATTACCCAAAGAACCCATTTTGCTCTGGATGGATGTTAAATAAACTAAGCCATAGAATACTATTCTAAAAATAATTTAAATAAATCATGTTAAGACTTCCAAAATGATCAACTTTTCATAATTCATGCACTTATTCATTCATTCAATAAATAATTATACGACCAGACTAAAGTTGAGCTGCCATTCTTACCTATGCTTTCCCAAATAAATTCAGTAACTTGCTATTTATTTAAAATAAAAGATAAAAGTTACAAATAATTATCTAAAACTATGATACACACCCACAAAATTGAAGTTCTAACCAATTTACCTAGGATGTAAGGAATAAATGGAGAGGATGGTTGTCCCTAGCACAGTATTGAGCAAGGATTCAGTCAACACCTGGCTGCCAGAAGCTGATAGAAAACAGAAACATAATTCAAAAGGAAACTACAAACCTCTCTGTCTATGGCAGTGGTATGCAACTGGGCCTCTGTGAGCTCACAGTCAAGAGCCCTTTGTAGGCTATATATGACGTGGTCGTATGAATGGTGTTCATCATTGAAAAGGACACAATAGTATCTTTCATTTTTCTTCCTGTTAGAAAAAATATATTTATATATAGATACAATAACAAATAAACAAAGGAAAAGTAAATAACACCATAAAACTAATAAAGAATTTAATTTTTTTTTTTTTTGAGACAGGGTCTCACTCTGTCACCCAGGCTGGAGTGCAGTGACACAACCTCAACTCACTGGAACCGCTGCCTCCCAGGCTCAAGCAATCCTCCCACCTCAGCTTCCTAAGTAGCTGAGGCTGAAGGCGCGTGTGACCATGCCCAGCTAATTTTTGTATTTTTTGTATAAATGGGTTTTGCCATGTTGTCCAGGCTGGCTGTGAACTCCTGAGCTCAAGCAATCTGCATGCTTCCAAAGTGCCATGATGATAGGCAAGAGCCACCACACCCAGCCCAGAATTTAAGTGGTATAGTGCCATGACTTTTTAAAACTCTGATAAAAGTATTTCCTTTTCCATGTTTTTCCCCCAATTTTTCATATTACTTTCAAAAGCCTCAGTTTAGTGACTGCATGTTTTTGGGGTTTTTTGGTATTTTTTGATATGGCGTCTTGCTCTATTGCCCAGGCTGGAGTGCAATGGCACCATCTCAGCTCACTACAACCTCCATCTCCCAGATTTAAGTGATTCTCCTGCCTCAGCTTCCTGAATAGCTGGCATTACAGGTGCACACCACTATGCCCAGCTAATTTTTGTAGTTTTAGTAGAGACAGTGTTTCACCATGTTGGCCGGGCTGGTCTCGAACTCCTGACCTCAGATGATCAGCCTGCCTCGGCCTAATTGTACGTTTTTAATACTACCCTTAACTCTTGCACAATGACACTGAAGCAATCCTCCTTTTTTAACAAGCAGATGGCTCACATTATGTTTACCAACATAAAGTGTCTTAAAAGATTTAACTGACATTAACACCTGTTGGAAATTAAAATATTTGTGGATACAATTTGTCATAACACTTATTTCCACAAGTGGTTTTTGGACTAATAAGAGGCAAAATAGTACATTTAATGTCTGTATTAATTACAATTCTTACTTGTTTCTCCCTTTAAAAACAAAACAAATGAAAATAGCCAATAAACTCAATGACTATTTAGATTGGTGCTGCAATTTTGTGAAAATGCTAATATTACAGAGGTAGAAAAATTTCAACACGGCTCAAAGTGTATGTATCTTCATAACAGGTCCAGAATTCCTTTTTACATTTGTAAGGTAAGAGCAAATATTACTGTCACCAAATGACTTATGGCTACTAGAAATTGCTGAGTTTTAGCTTAAAAAAAAAAGGTACATCCCTACAATTGCAATAATCCTGAACCAAAGCACAGGATAAAGGGCCCTTTTATCATTCCCATCAAACTTTTCTTGATCAGGAAAAGAGCTAAAAACCTGGGCTAAAAGGAGACACACTGTTCCAAAGTCCCTATCTTTGTTCACACAAACCTCAAACTGGACATTGGTCCAGGCCACGATCAAACTGGGCAATTTACTTACCTACTGGGATGAGAGGCTGCTATGTCCTTATAAATCATGTAGAACAAGATCCCCAAAATGTTAAATTTTTTTTTTTTTTTTTTTGTCCTAAAAATTCAAAGCTCCTGCCTGATAGACTGTTCTTTTGGCTGAACTTCTGCATAGTGCCTAGCAAAGTATCTCATACAAACCAATATTCTGAAATACTCCCAAGAGAAAAGTCACTATGAATTTTTCATAATAATAATGAATTAGGCAGTAAATAACAAAAACAATTATCAAACACACATTTTGCAATATAAATAACCAACAGTAAAACTTGCTCCCTTTGACAATTTTCCCCACCTTATCTGGAGTTCAGGAGGCAGTTCTTTTTCTTCTTCCCATATAGTCATTTCTACGATGTATTTTATCACTGAAGGAAATATTTTCCTGGCTTGTGCAATTACCTCTTCATTCAACGGACAGCGTGAATTCTATTAAAAAGCACAGAAAAACATACTAGTCAAGATTATATACAAATAAATGGATAAAGAATGTTAATGTTAGGTGATGGGGAGGAAGGCCGCAAACCACAATGCCATGTGTGTACCTATGCAATAATCTTACATGTTCTTCACATGTACCCCAAAACCTAAAATGCAATAAAAACTTTAAAAAAAGAAAAATAAAAGAACGTAATATTAAGTTAAAATAATCACTTTGCTGAATTCATTACATCTTCCAGGAACAAATTCAAGTTGAACTCAAGAGGGTTGCTATGTATTTAGATCAGTTTAGTTTAACTCCTGTAGACAAGCTGGTGTTACTGATGACAGAAAAGAGGCAGAATCAAGGAGTCTCCCCATTAGTGATATACTCTCTTATGAACGTTCCTCCTTGCCTTTCTGAGTAGCTAATTATGATGATATCGCATAATAATTGTTTATCCCTTATAGCTTACAAAGACTTTTCTCATAGCTTGTTTCCACAGATCCTCATGGCTACTCTCTAAGGCAGAACAGGTATTAATAACATTGAAAAGAAATGGAACCCAGCCAGTCACAGAGGGACAAATACTGTATGATTCTGCTCATATGAAGCATCTAAAGTAGTCATATTCATAGAAGCAGAAGATAAACAAGTGGTTTCCAAGCGCTGGGGGTAAGCGGAAGTTTGTTGACTGGGTATAGAGTTTCAGTGTCACAAGATGGAAAAATCTCTTAAGATCTGTTACACAACAATATGAATATACTTAACACTACTGAACTCAATATCTACACTACTAAATTATATTCTTAAAAATGGTTATGATGATAAATTTAATGTCATAGGCTTAACCACGAGGAAAAGATAAGGAACCCACCTAAGATCACAGAGCTTATAAATAGCAGAAACATGACTAAAATCTGGGTCTTTTGACTCCCACAAAAAAAAAAAAAAAAAAAATGTTCTTTTTATCACAGAATATCAATAAAAAGCTTGTTGAAGCCAATCAGTTATAAAATGCATTTGAATGCGCCATATCATAAGGCATTAGGGAATACAAATCCAAATCACAATGAGATATCACTTTACAACTACCTAGGTGGCTATAATAAAAAACGCAGGTAACAGCAAGTATTAGCCAGGATGTAAAAAATAATGAAAAAAGATCAGCAAGATTGCAGGATATGAGATACAAGATAATGTAACAAAAATTACTTTTGTTTCCCTCCCACCCCAGCCTCCTGAGTAGCTAGGACTACAGGCATGTACTACCACATTTGGCTAATTTTTTAATTTTTTGTAGAGATGGGGTCTTCTGGCCTCAAGTGATCCACTCACTGCAGCCCCCCAAAGTGCTGGGTTTACAGGTGTGAGCCACTGCACCCAGCCAGCATAGTTTTTCATACGATATAAAATAAAGTACATAGTTTTCACATCTAAAAATCAATCAGTGCAATACACCATATAAACAGAATAAAAAACAACTCTTTATGGATTCCTAAGGATTTTCATATACAAAACCACTATGTTGCCCAGGTTGGTGTCTAATTCCTGGCCTCAAATAAGCCTCCTGCTTGGGTCTCCCAAAGTGCTGGGATTACAGGTGTGAGTCACCAGATGTGTATATTTTACGGTTGTAATTGATAAAATAGACTAGTGCCTACAAAATCATGTCCTCTGCAAACAGTTAGTTTTACTTCTCCCTTTCCAGTGTGGATGCCTTTTACTGCTTTTTGTATCTAAATTCCTTGGTAGAACCTCCAATACAATATGGAACAGATACAGCAAAAACAGATATCCTTGTCTTGGTTCTAACTTCAGGGGAAAAGCATCCACTGTTTCAGCATTAACTATGATATCAACTGTGAGTTTTTCATACATGTTCTTTATCAGGTTGATGAAGTTCCCTTCTATTCTTAGTTTGTTGAAATATATTTTATGAAAGGGTACTGAATTTTGTAAAAGGTTTTTGCTACATCTACTGAGATGATAATGTGGTTTTATTCTATTTATATGGTGTATTATGCTGATTACTTTTCAAATGGTAAAACTATGTACTTCATTTTATATCCTATGAAAAGCTTTTATGCCAGCTGGGCCCAGTGGCTCATGCCTATAATCCCAGCACTTTGGGAGGCCAAGGCAGACGAATCACTAGAATCCAGAAGTTCAAGTTCAGTCTGGCCAACATGGTGAAACCCCATCTCTACTAAAAATATAAAATTAGCCAGGAGTGGTGGTGTACACCTGTAATCCCAACTACTCAGAGAGGCAAGACATGAGAATTGCTTGAACCCAGGAGGTAGAGGTTACAATGAGCCAAGAACATGCCACTGCACTCCAGCCTGGGCGACTCTGTCTCGAAAGAAAACAAGAATGAAAAAAAGCTTATTATGCCATATCACTTCATTATTAATGATGATGCTAATATCAATGACGGATTTCAGGTTATGACAATACGATAACTCCATTGTAAAGTTTTGGTTTTTTCCCCTTATGACTAGCAAATAATAATTTAGAAGTATATAAATATTGTTCCTCACCAACCTAAGTCTTAAGGATTTTAGCATCCTTGTCTGAATCAAATATTTCTTTATGGTTGACAAAATGTTGACTTTTCTAGTTCTACAGCTAGCATATTTCTCTAGAAAGAAAAGCTTTTCTTAATGAATTAGAGATACTTGGTTACTAAGAAATACAGTTCTTATTGAAAAGGCAGGATAAATGCTTACTTCATTACCTTAACCAATTTTTATAGTAAGAAATTGAAAATATAGCTACTTGACATTGTGACAGGTTTTATCTCATATAGCTCTCATGTAGGTTTCATTAGGAACTCATGGATTTTTATATATTCAGTGTGATTCAATTTATTGGTTATTTATTGTTTTTTCTTTTGATGCTTCAATTATCCAAGTAAGGTCAATGAGAACCTTTTCAAGTTGGGTCCTACATTCTTTTGCATGAACTTGCCTTATACATTCCCTGACCCAGACCTGGGACCAGGTATTCTGACAACAAGTGTCATTGCTTTAAGAGCGGAATGGTACGTAAAAGATCAACATCTGTGCCCTAGAGGTGTCGCTGCTTTAGGGATATCCACAACAGTTTAAAAAGCACAAATTATCTATTCCTTGAAGCTGTGAAATAATTCACCTGTAAAGCTATTCCAACATGGCATTCTGGGGCAAGTACTTTCTTGTGACAACTTTCTTAACTTCTTCAGTGAAACTGACCAAGTTTTCTTTCTGCTTTTGAATAAAAATGTTGCACTCTATACTATCTGATAAGATAATCCATTTTCAAGTGTAATTACACAAAGTCATTAAAAGAGTATTTTACAATTCTTGTGATTCCTTCTGTATCTGTCATTCCATGGTTATTTCCCTATTCTCATTTCTAATTGTCTATATCTGGGCTTGCTCAAACTTTTTTATTTCCTTGATTGGGATACATCTATTTAATTGACATTTTCTTTAAGAAAACAATTACTGAATTTATGTATCAGCTCAACTCTTTTCTAATTCACTATATGCTGCTCTTTTCTATTAATAATTACTTCCTTTTGTTCATTTAGGCTTCTATGTTGTGTATGATTTTTATTTTTGAGATAGAGTCTTGTTCTGTTGCCCAGGAGGGAGTGCAGTGGCATGATCTTGGCTCACTGCAAACTCCACCTCCTAGATTCAATTGATTCTTGTGCCTTAGCTCCATGAGCAGCTGGGATTACAGGTGTATGCCACCACATCTGGCTCAGTTTTGTATTTTTAGTAGATACAGGGTTTCACCATGTTGGCCAGGCTGGTCTCAAATTCCTGACCTCAGGTGATCCACTCGCTTCAGCCTCCTAAAGTGCTGGGATTATAGCATGAGCCACAGCACCTGGTCAGTGTACTCTTATGTATCAAGTTGATTGCATAACAAACATATTATGAATTCATCTTTTCATTGTAAATTCATTCTCTCTTTAGAGATATTATCAATCCTTAACTTCACTGGAGTGGGGAAAAAAAAAACCTCCTTATACCTAAATATGAGAATAAAAATATCAGGGTTCTAACTGGAATCCATATACATATACATTTACTCTTATCTAACCTCAGCAAACTTAAAATACGTAACTATTTTTAACAAAATAACATTCTTACCTCTTTTATAGTACCTGCTCTTCCAGGTTCATGATTTACACAAAAAGGGCCAGTTTTCCAAGCTTCTATGTCTCCACAGTCACAGAACCCTCCTCCAGTAGAAGTATGCATCTGATAAAGGAAAAATGAGTTCGTCTTGATTTCAAATATATAACCAAGCATGAAGAATGATAAAGATGACTCAAATAATAAATGCTCACCAATACTTCAGTCTTAATGGAGTTCACTATAATATTAACTGGATATAACAAAAACCACTTTTGATCAAGTTACCCAAAAAACAAACCAACAAACCAAAAGCCTCCAAATCCTGAATACTTCACAAAACGAAAATGAACTGCCAACACTGATAAACTTTAGAAACGTAACTCTAATTTTTAAATATTGTTTAAATTTTAACTAATGGAGAAGAATAGATTGCAAAGTGTGCAAAAATAATTTATACAACACCAAGAATTTTTGAGTGATAAGATTTTTTTAATTAAACTTAAAAAAACATGATGATACTTACACAGTACTTAAGAAATGTATAAAGTATTTTCATTTACACTGATGTCCCATAGCAACTAAAATTTATTTATAAACGTTATTCTTTCAGTGTTGCAGAAAAAAATTATCTAAAATATACTATCTCAGGTAGAGGATGATGGCAACAATCTGATTTTGAATCTTCCCCAAAACTTCCTCCAAAACATAAAAAGAATAAAGAGAGCACTAAAACTACACATGATCCATACTTTCAGCATTTAATAGGAGACAAAAAATAAATACTACGACATTGATATGACATGCTCCAAGAGTTCCCGTTGCCTACCCCTTCAAGTCTGTGGGTGCAAACAGCAAGAGAGGGGAGCTTACAAGACTCCATGAAAAAGCATAGAGGTACAGAGGAGTTAGATGAAACACTGAAATACAGAAAAAATCAACCCCCAAAAGAGAAAGCCCAATGCTAAGGGTCGAAACCTGAACACAGGTTGGGACTTGATACACAAGGAAAGTGAGCAGGACCAGAGGTGGCAACCTCAGAGAAGCATTACTTTTGGAAGAAAATCAAATACGTTTTTAAAAAGTAGAAACCCCTAAAGGTGTGGCAATGAAGGAAAAAAGAATATAAGGGAAAATTCTATAGAAACGAGAGAGAAACAAAACATGCCAAACCCTCCCTTCACATAACCACTACCAATATCATTAACGAAAAAAAGAAATTACACAGAAAATGAAAGAAATGGCAGAAGAGAGCATTTGTGACCCTTGACCATGAAATGAGAAAGAACAGGAAAAAGCAGCCCATATTCACACAAACGTGTAAAAATAAAAAGGGGGAAGGACAAAAATGCAAATAAGAGCCAAAACCCAATCACAAAGTTAAAGAAAACTGTAACACAATGCTCCAATTACATAGAGTCAATTACATAGAGTCAAACAAGCAATTGGTGATATGACTTGAATCAGATTAAAACACCTTTTATTAGAAACAGAAAAACTGGCCAGGTACAGTGGCTCATGCCTGTAATCCCAAAGCTTTGGGAGGGTGAAGCAGAAGGATCACTGAAGGCCAAGAGTTTGATATCAGCCTGAGCAATACAGCAAGAACCCATTTCTATAAAAAATTTAAAAATTAGCCAGGTGTGGTGGCATAAACTAAGAACAGAAATTGACAAAAAAGCAGGAATAAGTGAGACTTAATTGAACTCAGGGAAAAAAATACAAGAAAATGAGAAAATCATACCAGCAATTAATTTTACATTATAAAGTGTCCAAAATCTAGACTCAAATGAAAAGTTAGTGAATAACATTGAAGCAAAGCAGCTATAATACAAGAGAATAAAAATGAGATGAAGTAAAAAGATCAGAGAAAGTCATTGAAATGGGTGACAGTCATAAGAAAGCCACCATAACTGGAGTCAGTAAAGAAGAAAATTAAAACAATGGAACACAGCTAATATTTGAAACTATAGACCAGGTACAGTGGCTCATGCCTATAATCCTAAAACCTGGCTTGAGAGGCCAAGCCAGGAGGACTGAGCCCAGAAGTTTGAGGCCAGCCTCAAACTCAACACAGTGAGACCTTGTCTCAATTTAAAAAAAAAAAAAAAATTAAATTTAATTTAAAAAAAAGTTAAAAATAAGACTATAAACTAAGAAAACTTTCTGGAAAAAAAAGAACACCTGTACATTAAAAGGGCCCAAGAGTTCTTGAGTGACTGATCAACTCCAAAATATATTCTAGTAAAACTTTTTGACTTTAAAGATAAAAGCATTCAGGCAAAAGATGACGGCATTCAGGCAAAAGATGAGATAAAATGACGAGAAAATCAGACTGGCATTAGGCTTCTCAATAACAATATATAAAACAAGACAATAGTAGAGCAGTATTTTTAAGTGAAGAATATATAAACTAAGGATATTATTTCTAGCCAGGCTATAAAGGTCTGATTTTGAACATGTCAGGATTCAGGGAATATTGCACACAAGTTCCCTTCTTGAGGTGTCTACTTGAGCAAGAATCAGCAAACTTTCTTTATAAAGGACCAGAAAATAAGTATTTTAGGTTTTGCAGGCCACATAGCCTCTGTCAAATTACTCAGTTCTACTGTTGTACTGCAGAAGCAGCCACAGACAATACAAACATGAATAAGCATGGCTTTGCTGCAATAAAACTTTACTGGCACTGAAATGTTAATTTCACATGATTTTAATGTATCATGAAACATTTTTTAAGCTGACCACCTAAAAATATAAAAATCATTCTCAGCTGTTTGAGGCCATACAAAAAAAGTGAGCCAGATTTGACCCACAGGTATCATTCCCCAGCCACTAGCAGCCACCGATATTTTTATTGCCTCCAAAGCTTTGTCTTTTCCAAAATGTCATACAGTTGGAATCATACAGTATATAGCTTTATCAGAACTGTTGCTTTCATTTATCATTTTGTACTTAAGGTTTCACCATGTGTTCTCATGACTTGATAGCTCCATTCTTCATAGCACTAAACAATACTCTATTGCATGTATTGTATGTATGTATGTATGTATGTATGTGCCACAGCTTTTCCATTTACCTATTAAGAATATCTTGGTTGCTTCCAAGTTTTTTAAGAAAGTTGCTATAAAACATCCATTGGCCGGGCACGGTGGCTCATGCCTGTAATCCCAGCACTTTGGGAGGCTGAGGTGGGTGGATCACTTGAGGTCGGGAATTCCAGACCAGCCTGGTTAACATGGTGAAACCCCATCTCTACTAAAAATACAAAAATTAGCTGGCCATGGTGGTACACATCTGTAATCCCAGCTACTTGGGAGGCTGAGGCAGAAGAATTGCATGAACCCAGGAGACACCAGTTGCAGTGAGCCGAGACTGCAACATTGCACTCAACCTGGGCAACAGAGCTAGACTCTGTCTCGAAAAAAAAAAAAAAAAAAAAGTTTGTGCAGTTTTTTGGTATGAACATTAAGTTTTCAATGCATTTGTGTAAATACCAAGGAGTGCTATTGTTGGTTCATATGGTAAAAGTATGTTTACTTCTATAAAAAACTGTTGAATTATCTTCCAAAGTAGCTATACCATATTGCATTTCCACCAGTTATAAGAGTTCCTGTTGTTTCACATCCTCACCAGCATTTGGTACTGTCAGGGCTTTAGATTTTCACTATTCTAACAAGTGTATAGTAATGTCTCATTGTTTTAATTTGCAATTCCCTAATGACAAATGATGCTGAACTTCTTTTAGTGTGTTTACTACCATTTGTATATATTCTTGATAAAGTGTCTATTCAGATACTTTGTCTATTATTTAAATGGGTGGTTTTCTTATTCTTAGTTTTAAGAGTTCTTTGTAGATGTGTGGCATTGCCTCCAAGGCCTCTGTTCTGTTCCATTGGTCTATATCTCTGTTTTGGAACCAGTACCACGCTGTTTTGATTACTGTAGCCTTGTAGTATAGTTTGAAGTCAGGTAGTGTGATGCCTACAGCTTTGTTCTTTTTGCTTAGGACTGTCTCAGCTATGCGGGCTCTCTTTTGGTTCCATATGAAGTTTAAGGTGGTTTTTTCCAGTTCTGTGAAGAGGGTCATTGGTGGCTTGATGAGGATAGCATTGAATCTATAAATTACTAGGGGCTGGGCGCGGTGGCTCACGCCTATAATCCCAGCACTTTGGGAGGCCGAGGCAGGTGGATCACGAGGTCAAGAGACCAAGACCATCCTGGTCAACATGATGAAACCCCGTCTCTACTAAAAATACAAAAAATTAGCTGGGCGTGGTGGCGCGTGCCTGTAATCCCAGCTACTCAGGAGGTTGAGGCAGGAGAATTGCCTGAACCCAGGAGGCGGAGGTTGCGGTGAGCCGAGATCGCACCATTGCACTCCAGCCTGGGGTAACAAGAGCGAAACTCCGTCTCAAAAAAAAAAAAAAAAAAAAGAATCTATAAATTACTTTGGGCAGTATGGCCATTTTCGCGATATTGATTCTTCCTAACCATGAGCATGGAATATTTTTTCCATCTGTTTGTATCCTCTCTTAATTCCTTGAACAGTGGCTTGCAGTTCTCTTTGAAGAGGTCCTTTACATCCTTTGTTAGTGGTATTGCTAGGTATTTTATTCTACACATCTACAACCACCTGATCTTTGACAAACCTCATAAAAACAAGCAATGGGGAAAGGATTCCCTGTTTAATAAATGGTGTTGGGAAAACTGGCTAGCCAAGTGCAGAAAGCAAAAACTAGACCCCTTCCTGACACCTTACACTAAAATTAACTCCAGATGGAGTAAAGACTTAAACATAAGACCTAACACCATAAAAACCCTAGAAGAAAGCCTAGGCAAAACCATTCAGGACATAGGCATAGGCAAGGACTTCATGACTAAAACACCAAAAGTATCAGCAACAAAAGCCAAAATAGACAAATGGGATCTAATTAAACTCCAGAGCTTCTGTACAGCAAAACAATCAATCATTAGGGTGAACCCGCAACCAACAGAATGGGAAAAAATTTTTGCAGTCTACCCATCTGACAAAGGGCTAATATCCAGAATCTACAAAGAACTAAATCAGATTTACAAGAAAAAAACAAATCCATTCAAAAGTGGGTGAAAGATATGAACAGACACTTTTCAAAAGAAGACATATATGAGGCCAACAAACATATGAAAAAATGCTCATCATCACTGGTCATTAGAGAAATGCAAATCAAAACGACATTGAGATATCATCTCACACCAGTTAGAATGGCGATCATTAAAAAATTTGGAGACAACAGCTGCTGGGGAGGATGTGGAGAAATAGGAACACTTTTACACTGTTGGTGGGAGGCTAAATTAGTTCAACCATTATGGAAGATAGTATGGCAATTCCTCAATGACCTAGAAACAGAAGTTCCATTTGACCCAGCAATCCCATTACTGGGTATATACCCAAAGGATTATAAATTGTTCTATTACAAAGACAAATGCACATGTATGTTCATTGTGGCACTGTTTACAATAGCAAAGACCTTGAATTAACTCAAATGCCCATCGAGGATAAACCGGATATGGAAAACGTGGCACATATACACCATGGAACACTATGCAGCTGTAAAAAAATGATGAGTTTGTATCCTTTGTAGGGACATGGATGAATCTGGAAACCATCATTGTCAGCAAACTGACACAAGAACAGAAAATCAAACACCAAATGTTCTTACTCATAGGCGGGTGTTGAACAATGAGAACACATGGATACAGGGAGGGGAGCATCACTGAGGTCTATTCGGGGGGAGGAAGGTGTGGAACAGTGGGAGGGTGGGGAGGTTGGGGAGGGATAACATGGGGAGAAATGCCAGGTATCAGTGACAGGGGGATGGAGGCAGCAAACCACATTGACATGTATGTACCTATGCAACAATCCTATATGGTCTGCACATGTACCCCAGAATCTAAAGTGCAATAAAAAACAAAAAAAAAAGGAGGAAAAAAAAACAGTTCTTTGAGTATTTTTAGTAGTGGCCTTTTATAAGATGTATGTTTGGCAAAGATTTTTTTGCTCAATCTATGTCTTGTCTTTTTATTCTCTTAAAGATTCATATTTTTTAATCTAGTAATTCCACTTCTGAGAACCTATCCTAAGGAAATAATCCTACATATAGAAAGATGATTTACACATAAAAGGTATTTATTGTAACACTTTATCATTTAAAAAACCTGAAACCTGTTCGTATCCGAGTCACAGCACCAAAAAAAAAAAAAAAAAAGGAAAAAAAAGAAACTAAAAAAATGGGAAAAAAAAGAAACCCAAAGAAATACCCCAATAATAGGTAAATTATAAAAACAAATTATGGTTAAATATTAGATACACAATACGTTTAAAAAAAAAAAGCACAAACAACGCATAATTTTATGTATTTTGTTTTTCCATTTACAAGTGTAACAAAACTTTTTTCTTTTTATAATTCCACAAACTTCATTTGAAAACTTCATTTTTTTCCTGATTAAAACAGATGGTTAAGAACAAAAGAAAAAAAATTTAAAAAAAGAAGATGGTTGCAGAAATACACGCTCTTTTTATAGTTCATTTTTCTCATTTAACAATATAAAAAGAATTTATATTAAAAACAGTAAGTGTATGTTCGTTTGTATGTATGTATTTTTGAGAAGGAAAACACAGAAGTTTACTGTAAGTTTTTTTAAGAGACAAACTACTGAATAGCTAGAGATCACAAAGAAGGGTCACATTACATACACTGGAGAGCAAAGAGCTCAAAATTTTGTTTGTTTTCCTGTTCTCAAAAGTTGTTTTGGACTATCCTACCACTAAAGGTTTTTCTTGGTCCTTTATTCAAATAATATCTGATCTTGAGTCTCCCTACCAATTACTCTTTTTTTCTTTTCTGTAAAGGAACACACATCCCTTATCTCTTCCAACCTTTTCTTTAAAATGGCTATGTTCACATTTCAGAGCTGTTATAACAGGAATGTAAGTACTACTCAAGATCTTGGACGAGATGGCCATCAGATTCCTACTTATTCAGAGATTTTATGGTTATATTTTCATACCTTGTAACGATGATTTTTGTGAACACTATTCTGGAAGCAGTCCATACAGAGTACACATGTTGGATCAATTGCACAATCCCTGAAAAAAATCAGAAATTAGATTCCAAACTTTAGATGACTCCCACTGATGCTCAGGTGTTACTACAATATAATGTGAACAAGTTTCCTGTATGGTGTACAAATGAATAAAAAATGCTTCAAAAACTGAATTCCAAAAATGTTTTGAACAAAGATCATATTGCTAGAATAATTTTAGCCTCATTTAGCCACACTTAAGTATGTAGTTCTGGATGTTTGGTTTTCTTTCTGAAATCACTGTCATAGCTTTGAGCCTTGACCTGGTTTCAAACTGTTAGATTACAATTCAAAAATAATTTTGTAAAAAATAATCCATTTTTTCCATTAACTATCATCAGCTCATCCTATTACATTAATAAATATATTTTACAGCTGGGTGCGGTGGCTCAAGCCTGTAATCCCAGCACTTTGGGAGGCCGAGGCGGCCGGATCAGGAGGTCAAGAGATGGAGACCATCCTGGCCACCATGGTGAAACCCCGTCTCTACTAAAAATACAAAAAATTAGCTGGGCACGGTGGTGTGTGCCTGTAGTCCCAGCTACTTGGGAGGCTGAGGCAGGAGAATTGCTTGAACCCAGGAGGCGGAGGTTGCAGTGAGCCGAGATCGTGCCACTGCACTCCAGCCTGGCGCCTGGGGACAAAGTGAGACTGTCTCAAAATAAATAAATAAAAATAAATAAATTTTTTTACAAACACTGACCATTCATTGTTAAATGAGGCTTGGATAAAGACAAAGTTCATCAGAATGCAAGCAACACAAGGGCAGGGATTTTTATTTATTGTACACTGAAGTGGCCCAAACACCTACAATGGTACCCAGCATATAGTGGGTACTTACTATTTATTGAACAAATGAAAGAAATTCAATCCCTCTTCATCTCTACCTTAATAACAACTTCTTACATGTATTGTTGTATCTAACATTTTAGAGGAGACATTAAGAACAATATAAATTAGTGCAAAGTACAGGATTAATTTTTTTTCCTTTTGAGACAGTCTCACTCTGTCACCCAGGAATGCAGTGGCAGGATCATAGCTCAGTGCAACCACAGCCTCTCAAGTTCAAGTGATTCTTCTACCTCAGCCTCCTGAGTAGCTGGGATTACAGGCATCTGCCACTACACCCAGCTAATTAACTGAATTTTTAGTAGAGACAGGGTTTCACCATGTTGGCCAGGCTAGTCTTGAACTCCTAACCTCAAGTGATCCACCCACCTCAGTCTCCCAAAATGCTGGGATTATAGGAGTAAGCCACCATACCTGGCCATGATTAATTTTTTAAATATCTTATTTAAAAGAATTGAAGAGATAAAACTGGGATATTGTTTAAAAATTTAAAAGACTGGCTGGGCATGATGGCTCACACCTGTAATCACAGCACTTCAGGAGGCCAAGGCAGGCAGATCACCTGAGGTGGGGAGTTCAAGACCAGCCTGATCAACAAGGAGAAACCCCGTCTCTACTAAAAATACAAAAAATTAGCTGGGCATGGTGGTGCACGCCTGTAATCCCAGCTACTCGGGAGGCTGAGGCAGAAGAATTGCTTGAACCCAGGAGGCAAAGGCTGCAGTGAGCCAACACTGTGCCATTGCACTCCAGCCTGGGCCATAAGAATGAAACTCCAACTCAAAAAAAAAAAATAAAATAAAGGCCGGGCGAGGTGGATCACGTCTGTAATCCCAGCACTTTGTGAGGCCAAGACAGGGGGATCACCAGGTCAGGAGATCAAGACCATCTTGGCCAACATGGTAAAACCTCATCTCTATTAAAAATACAAAAAAATTAGCTGGGTGTGGTGGCACATGCCTGTAGTCCCAGCTAGTTGGTAGGCTGAGGCAGGAAAATTGCTTGAACCTAGGAGGCAGAGACTGCAGTTAGCCGAGATCACACCACTGCACTGAAGCCTGGGCAACAGTGCAAGACTGTCTCAAAAAAAAGAATTTAAAAGGCTAACAGGAAATATAGGTTGTCTAATAATATTCTGTAAAATATATATGATCTAAGACCTATTTAGAATAGGATTTTCAACCTCAATACCACTGACACTTTGGGCCAGATAACTGTTTGTTGGGGGTGGACCAGACTGCCCTGTGCATTAGGATGTTTAGCAGGAATCTTGGCCTCTACACAATAGATACCAGTACCCTCCCCCAGATGTAACAATTAAAATTATCTCCATGAAACTTTTGGAGACATGAGGTCTGCAAATGTCTATCATGGTTTAGTTGAAAGTGACTGAGCTCTAGCTAAAAATACATAAGAAGATAAATGAACTTTACTATATAGCAACATGGTACACAAAATGCAAAAACTTTCTTTTTTCTTCCTAAAAACAGGACAAAGAAAGATAGTATGTTCTAAACAACTGTTAATTGTATATAAACCTGTCAGGCATAGAATTATAAGAAAGTAAACAGGAGGCTGAGGCAGGAGAATTGCCTGAACCCAGGAGGCGGAGGTTGCGGTGAGCCGAGATCGCGCCATTGCACTCCGGCCTGGGTAACAAGAGCGAAACTCCGTCTCAAAAAAAAAAAAAAAAAAAAAGTAAAAAAAACTCTCTGTATTTATAAAGTCTAAAAATTCACACTCCTAACCTAAACTAGCTCTAACAAAGGAGGAAAACTAAATCTCAAATTTCAGGCAGAGGTAGGGAGCAAAAATGTTCTCTGTGCTGCCACGAAGTTTAAGGCACTGTTCTCACAAGGAATAAAAAGCCTAGGCTGGACACAGTGGCTCACCCCTGTAATCCCAGCACTTTGGGAGGCTGAGACGGGTAGATCACGAGATCAGGAGTTCAAGACCATCCTGACCAACTTGGTAAAACCCCATCTCTACGGGGGGGTGGGATATATGTATGTATGTATGTATGTGTGTGTATATATATACATATTTATATTTATATATATATATATATATACACACACACACACACACACACACACACACACACACACATTAGCTGGGATATATATACACATAAAAAATTAGCCAGGCGTGGTGGCATGCACCTGTAATCGCAGCTACTCGGGAGGCTGAGGCAGGAGAATCGCTTGAACCAGGGAGGTGGAAGTTCCAGTGAGCCGAGATCATGTCACTGCACTCCAGCCTGGACAACAGAGTGAAACTCTGTCTTAAAAAATAATAAATAAAATAAAAAGACTTAAGTTGTTTTCAGTTTCCCTACCGCTGGCCTCTTCTATTCAACTAAATTACAACTGTTTCTACAGGTTCAAAATCCCTTACACAAGACTCTGAAATCCAAATAGCTCCGAAGTTGAAAGGTTTTCGAATTTCTGTAGGTTTGGCACCAAATCTCACTTGATGGCAAAAAAAGACTTCAAATGGAATGAGACTACAGGCATTATTTATACTACTTGTTGTGAATATTCAGATTTCTTAAAGACAGATTGTGTTTGATTACAGTGTCCCACCCTAACTCTGCTGGGGAAGTACTCAGAATTCTGAAATGCCACAAAGAGTTTCAGTTAAGAGTATGCTGGATACATTACAAATAAGACAAAAATCTATCACTGACATTGTGTTGTAGAACAGGAAGAAACTGTGAGAACTATTTAACTGGAAGTCATATATATTCAGAAATGAGCTGTACTAGCAAAAACCACACAACAACTGCATAATAAAAGAAAGTTAATTAACTAAATGTTACTATTTATAATTACTATTATAAATAGTAATAAACCAAGAAAAGTATATCACAAAATAGATAAAATACCAAGATAGTAATAATTGGCCGGGGGTGGTGGCTCATGCCTGTAATCCCAACACTTTGTGAGGCTAAGATGTGTGGATCACTTGAGGCCAGGAGTTCGAGAACAGACTGGTCAACATGGTGAAACCTCGTCTCTACTAAAAATACAAAAATTAGCCAAGCATGGTGGTGGGCGGCTGTAATCCCAGCTACTTGGGAGGCTAAGGCAGGAGAATTGTTTGAATCTGGGAGGTCGGAGGTTGCAGTGACCCGAGATTACGCCACTGCGCTTCTGCCTGGGTGACACAGCCAGACTCCATCTCAAAAATAACAGTAATAAGATTGTAATAATTATGATCAATCCTGTAAATTTCTAATTCTTACCTACAAGAATAGGTTGTCTCTCCACTTTTGAAAACCTTCCCACAAAGCTGAAATGCTCCACTGTGCTTCAACTTCTCTAAGCAAATATCTGGATCTTCTCCAAATAAGTACCATTCCAGTGGAGTGAATATTGACATTTGTACACTTTCCTCCTGTTTTTCCAAGTCTGGGTCCATTTCAGCAAAGTAAATTTCTGGCACCAGCTGTGCCAAATGATGCAAGAAAGCAGTATAAAAATCAACTTGCTGATCCCACCACTGAAAGAAAAGAAGATGAAAATTAGACTGTCTTACAAGCTCCTTCTTAATCATCTGGGGGCACAAGTAATGACATAATTCTATAATTTCAAAGTAATTTATATACTTCATCCTTCACCAGTACAGAAAGAAAGTGGGTGATTTAACAAAAGTAAGCTTGGAAATAACCAACTACCATATACCACAGATATTGGAAAAAAAAAAAAAGAAGAGTAGCTATAGTAGGTGAGAATTATCTTTCCCTTCCGGAATGGCCAATTCCTGCTACATGAAGGTGGTTCTATTATCAGTCACCAGCTAAAAAGACAATGCATTCATCACACACTTTGTTTTAGGAAACCAGAGTGTTTAACAAGAGATCAAAATAAACATAGGCCAAAGTTTTACAAACATAAAAAGCACTAACCATGAAAGAAAGAAAAAAAAAACTGGATAAATTGGACCTCATCAAAAGTAAAACCTTCTGCTCTTCAAAAGAAACTGTTACAGATGGCTTATTTGCATATGAAAACATGCTTACTATTATTAGTCATTAGGGAAGCACTAATTAAAATGACAATGAGATACCCCTGCACTACCTAGTATGGTGGCTAAAATTAAAAACTGGCAATATCAAATGCTTACTAGGCCAACAGTACTTTCGCACCTACAGTCCCATCTCAGGAGGTCGAAGTAGGAGGACTGCTCGAGCGCAGGAGTTCAAGGCTGTAGTGTGCACCTGTGAATAGCCAATGCACTTCAGCCTGGACAACACATAGGAAGACCCCATCTCTTCAAAAAGAGTGACTTACATCACTTGTAACTGAAAAGATGAAGTCCACCATTTTTTTTTTGTCTTTTGTTTAAAAGACAAAAAAAACAAAACACATATGACTCAAGGCATATCATTAAAAAACAACAAAAACTCACCCAAGGAGTTTTATAAGCTGATAATATAATTACAATTAAGATTTTATGCCGGGCGCGGTGGCTCAAGCCTGTAATCCCAGCACTTTGGGAGGCCGAGGTGGGTGGATCACGAGGTCAAGAGATCGAGACCATCCTGGTCAACATGGTGAAACCCCGTCTCTACTAAAAATACAAAAAATTAGCTGGGCATGGTGGTGCGTGCCTGTAATCCCAGCTACTCAGGAGGCTGAGGCAGGAGAATTGCCTGAACCCAGGAGGCGGAGGTTGCGGTGAGCCGAGATCGTGCCATTGCACTCCAGCCTGGGT